ACCCTGCACCTATCTAGACCACGTCACTATCAACCACCGATGGATAAGCTCGAAAGAAGACTGTTGCTCATTCTGGAGCACATATTTAGATTCACATCATGCCGTAGTATGAGCACTTGCTTGCCTGCGTCTCATTGTTCAATTCAAACACAACTTATAAAGTCCTAAAGATAGAATGATATTCTAAAAAAGAAGAATATCCCTTATTTAAATATGTCTATTGCGTTTGTAGACTAAATTTTGTTTCATTTTCAACTAATTATGTAAATTCTCCAACCATCTTTGTCAATAAATCATGATTATCACTAAAAGTTATTAACCTGTTATTAATCTGCGAGGCAATTCAAGACCATGGAATATTTATTTTGTTAGGTTATTCATCCAATATCCTAAGATAATTGTTTGTAAGTCTAATCCTATTGGTCAATTCCTATTAATCGTCCTAACTATCAATGTCACATACTTCAAATGTTGTTTCCTGTTCGACATAACTGTATAAATACGCATCATCTGTAACGTTTTATGACCCGGACCCGGATCCCTAGTCCGGGATCCTGATTCTCTTCTGGACTCGAAACGCGTACTTTCTGGATGCTTGTAGAATACATGTTCTACTTCATATCAAGTCTTCTTCTTTTACTCAATGGAGGTTTGGGACGTTCGGATTAGAGTAGCCAATATTATCTTCAACTCTCATTTCCACTTGTTCCCAATCACTGTTCATTCTTTTCATGTCTGTCACCAATCCTCTGCGCAATATGTTCTTTGGTCTACCACTTTTCCCCCGACCGTAGCTGCTACCTTGACGTGGTGGTCGGGCTTGCCTATCATGATGACCCAACCGAGCTATACTGGCTGGAACATATGTTCCTGCAGGTTCTACCATGCCAGGCAGGTCGATTGGAGAACGATGAGACTAAAAGCAGCTACCCAAGGTCTGAGGGCGAAGTCGTACTGCTGACTGTAGTAGGGTGTGACAGCAGTAAGGTGTTTCCCTCGGACAACCAGCATCTGCAGCGATGCTGCCTTCTCACAAGGAAGGAAGGGTTAGAAAAGGTCGGCCCTAAAAATGTCACACCTCCCCTACCTCACGGATTTCCGTCTCCTTGGGTAAGGGTGCCCACTAAGGGCCTTTAAGAACGGAGCTAATCCTCAAAATACTTTTCATAAAAAGGCCGTGCGCAACCGGCCTCAAGTAGTTGTCCCTTGGACTCTGCGGTCACGCTCCCAAGTCGTTCAGACCAACACTAATCTATTTTCCTTTTCAGGTCCCTCAAGAAACAACCTTCCACGGTGTGGGCAGCCGGGAAGTGACAACCGCCCTCATACCCGTAACAGCACGCGAGACCAAATTGGTCGAAATCAAATCCTTCCTACACCCACATATACCTCTCTTCTCTCCACAACTAACTCTACTCACATTCCCTTATCTGACTGCACCGCTAATGCAAACGATGCGAGTTCACGAAACGTCGCTTGAAACCTCGTTCTAGTCTACATGTTGGAGCATTTAATGAACGGACATTGTGTCAAATAGGGCAACAGGCATCATTAGCTAGAACTTTAGAATCTCGTGCCATCGATGTATGCTACGTCTCGTAAACGCGCATACAGGATCCTAGTAAAATTATTAATCGGATTTCACCTTGTCAAAATAAAGAAGCAGCTCGATTTACTCTTCGTGTATCCGGTAGCCCTGATGCTGCTTCCACGGGTCTTGTTGGCGTAGGCATAGCATTGAGTCGTAGAGCTGAACAATCTCTCCTTGACTGGATCCCAGTAGATAGTCGGTTGTGCGCTGTCCGACTAAACGGGACATTAAGGACTCGGAAAGATAGGGACAATCACCGTTGCCTCTTCATCGTATCTGCCTATGCCCCCACTGAATGCAGTTCAGACGAGGTTAAGGATGAGTCTTACAGAAAGCTTTCGGACCTCCTCCAAAAAGCTAGGCGCTCTGATATAGTAATAATGGCTGGTGACTTTAATGCTCAAGTACGTAGACTAAGTGAAAATGAAAGACACCTAGGTGGATGTTATGGTGTCGCGGCTCAGAGAACAGACAATGGCGACCGTCTGTTGCAACTATGCTCAGATAACCGCCTATTCTTAGCGAACACCAACTTTAGACATAAGGAAAAGCATCTGTTGACCTGGCGACCTCCAAAGTCGTCTCAACGTTGGACTCAACTAGATCACATCTCCATCAGCCACTGATGGAGGGGTTCGATAGAAGACTGTCGCTCGTTCTGGGGCACATGTTTAGATCCAGATCATGCCCTAGTGCGAGCGCGTATTTGTTTGAGGCTTACTGGGCGTAGGAAGGACACCGTAAGAAAGTCTCTTAGGGTTTTACCTAATGATAATAGGGCCAAAAATATATTTCAGGAACAACTAGAAAGACAGTTAGGCGACCATGTAAGCGATTCCCATCCGGACGCAGGTTGGAATGATATCAGAAAGGCTGTGGAAACAGCAGTGATATCTGCTAGTAAGGTTGACCATAAGGCTAGAATGAAGCCGTGGATCTCAGTAGCATCCACCGATCTGATGGATGCCCGAAAACTCATCCCACCTGGCTCTGAACATGATGAAGAACGAAGTCAACTTAGGCGCTTGCCGCGCTCTTTATCATGCTGTATTTGCTTTAGTGCTTCCATCTCCATAGGGAATGAGACCATTTGAACCAATTTGATTATATCCTGCTTCGCGCTATCGATTTCTTCCAGCCTCAACCTACCATAAACTAATGGTCTTCTGTCTAACTTCATCCTCATATTACGGGAAAACCGTTTACATAGAGCGAATATTCTCATCATTCTGAACCATGTCTTACAGTCACTAAATCGATTCAAAATTTGGTCCGAGCAACTCTTCGCTGATGTCTCACCTAGTTCTTCTATCGACAAGTGAGCTAAAACATGTTTCTCTTCTTCGGGTGGAGTCGGCCAATTACTTTCGTCTTGCCATAAAAATTTCGGTCCACGGAACCACTCATTTAGTTTGATGTTATCGTCTAACGACAAACCACGTGAAGCATAATCCGCAGGGTTACCGTCAGGGATTTCCACTTTCGCCATTTTTGTTTAATTTTATCATAGACATGCTCCTAGAAATAACCTTATCCTCGTCTGAATTTTCAGGAGTAGACCTTCTACCAGGTGGCTCGCTTATTGACTTAGAATATGCCGATGACATAGTCCTACTTGGTGAAGACGCTGACAAAATTCAGAGTCTTCTGACTACCCTAAGCAACAATGCAAGCATATTCGGGTTGCGGTTTTCCTCCTCGAAATGCAAAATGTTGCTTGAAGATTTGGTTTCATCGGCACCTGAACTAGTGATAAGGAGTGAAGTAGTCGAACGTGTAGACCGCTTGACTTATCTTGGGAGTCTCATCAGTGCCGATGGCCTGGTGACTGACGAAATCTCAGCACGGATACAGAAAGCTCGATTGGCTTTTGCCAACCTGCGTCACTTATGGCGAAGGCGAGATATCCGTTTGCTGACTAAAGGACGAGTGTACTGTGCAGTGGTTCGCTCCGTCTTACTTTATGGCTGTGAAACATGGCCAGTGAGAGTAGAAGATATTCGTAGGTTACTGGTTTTCGATCATAGGTGTCTTCGAAGCATTGCTCGTATATCCTGGGACACCCGAGTGAGCAACGCTGTTATTAGAAAGCGGTGGCTTGGTAAGGATGGCAGATCAATCGATGAAGTATTGAAACTTCATCAGTTGAGGTGGTTGGGACATGTGTTGCGTATGCCTAACCACCGACTGCCTCGTCGAACTTTGTTTTGTAGTGTAGGAATAGGTTGGAAGAAAGTTAGGGGTGGCCAGATCAAAACATGGCACAAATCCATGAAGTCATTGACGAGTGGACTTAGCCATGTCGGTAGTTGTCGACTACCTGGTTGGGGTCCGCGAGATGATAATAATCGATGGTTAGAGACCTTGAATGACATGGCTCGAAATCGTTCGCAATGGCGCGGGTGCATTTATTCTTTGTGTTCTCTCAAATCCTAATCTTCTGGATTCTTCAACAAGTCTAGTTTTGACTTTCGAAACTTTTCTCACTGAATCATACTTCTTGAATAATATCTTCTAATCCTAACCTCTCCGATTACTTCTAATACCTATACTACCTCTTCTACTATCGGATTTGAATTGACAATTACACCTCTGTGCTGATGTGGTATGGCAACATAAACTGATGTACTTACGTACGAAGTTCTACGTTGCATCTGACTGACTGACTGACTACCACTTTTCCATTGGCCTTGAGGATTCCAAGTTAGAACTTGTCTTGTTACGCGGTTTGGTGATTTGCCCAATGTTTCTTATTCATCGCCAGTGCTTTTCCCTCACTTTCTTCTCAGCTAGAAGCTGGTTTGTTTCCTGCCACTATGGGTAGCTGTTGACGGTGTCTGGTCAACGAATCTGGACTATCTTGCCTTGGCTGCCTTGCGCTGCTCTTATTCGGTTGTTCTTGATTCCTTCCTTCTAGTTTTTCCTGTCTTGAATCGTTTTCAGTGTGTCAACAACGATCGATTTGTTACGATGGTGCTTTCTATGGCCTAAAACATGACATGTTGAAGTTGTTGCTTCTTTGACCCCTTTCCAGTTGTGCTCCATGGTAGTTTCTTCTTCACTGGGTAAATTGTGAAAGGCTTGTAACGTATTTTTGAGGGTTATCTTGAATTCGTTGAGTTTGACAGTATCCCGAAGAAAAGCTTTTTTTTTTCGACGCCTTTTGCAAAATTATCCAGTGTTTCTGTTGTGAACGCGGCTACGTAAATCTTCAGTCCTAACGGCGTCCAATTCAAATATCACAAAACGACCCAAAGGCTTTCCCAAATCTCCTAGAAATCAGAACGTAACACCGTGGCAGGAAGATGTTTATTGGGTCGTAAACAGAAGAAGTAGGCAGGGGAAACGGAATTATTAAGTCTTCCAGATAGCGCGTATTTATACACTAAGGTCGAATAAGAAAAAGCATCAACGTCTGTGACATTGACAATTTAGGACGACCAATAGAAAAGGACATTTGAATGACATTGACCGTCCAGATGACCAATAAGAGGTAACATTGAAGTATTTGACCCTGACGGTAAGAACGATCAAAATTTCGGCCAATAGAATTCGACCAATAGGATTGCAGTTCTAAAAATAGTATTCTTAGGATATTTGGTGAATATCCTAACACCTCCCTCTGGAATAAAAAAAAAAAGAAAAAATAACAGCGACACAGCCGAGGGTTTACTTGAAATTACTTGATTTTCTTCGCTTGCGTTTCGACCACCTCGGAGATAAAATCCCTGGAGCTGTAGGATGTTCTGTTTGAGTAGATGACTCGATAGTGTCTGTTGGAGGTATTGGCGGAACTTGATAAGTATCCAACAGCAAACAGAGTGGGAGACGCTTCGTAATTTTACCTTTCTCTTTATCTCCCCCTGGCCTTAGTTGATCACGAGGTCTTTTGGTATTTGAAAGGCTTTTCATGATATCCTTATCATTTACTAGCTTCACTTCGACGCTTGAAGATTTACAAGAAAGAATGGAGTCACGTGAATATCTTTTTCTGTTTATTGTATCATGGTTTTCTCCATCACCCCAGTTTGCTTTATGTTGGGACTTGACATGCATGGTGATGTCACACAAGTTATCTGAGATCACATTTTCTTCAGGCATGGCAACTGGCTGCAGTCCGATACCAGGCTGAAGCGGTTCAGTGAGTCGTTTTTGAAAATCTGCAGCATGCTGTTGTGTAACGGCAGGAGTTTTTACTTGATTGCAGACAGTATTGATGGGAAGATCAGCGAGACCAAGTTTTTCGAACCAATCTAACCCCAGAAGGTTGTGAGGAGACTTGTTGATATAGCATGTTCCATTGAAGGTTGTATCTCTGAACGAAACACAGCAATCAAGTTTACCACGAAGACGAAGGTGACCCCCACAGGCACTGACAACTATCTGCGATGATGGTTTGATGCGTGGTTGACCCAAGGTTCGCCAAGTCTCTTCTGACAGAATAGTGATATCTGATGCAGTATCCAACTGCATTCGAACCAGCTGACCATTGATCGAGAGGGTCAGAAATTTGCGTCGAGTAGAAGCATCGGTGTGAAAGACTGCTGCTAAACTCCTAGATGCAGCCAACGGCTTTCTGGGATAACGGCGCTGCGACTGTGAATTTCGCCGGAAAATGAATTGGGTTGATTGGCAAAAACCGCTTTTATGACCAATTTTCTGACAGCGATTGCACACATGGTGCTTGAATGGACAAAATTTCACGTAATGCCAGTCTCCACAGTGCCAACATGGTGAGGGAGGCTTCTTATGCGCTGATTTTGAGTGATTAGAATCAGAACTGGCATTCGAACGACCAAAGGTTTTCGATCTAGAAGATTTGTTCTGCTGCTGAACAACGTGAACTTCGTAACCACCCTGGCTCCCAGATTGAACCAAAGTGGTGTCACACTGTAAGTTGGTGATGCGTTGGTACTCATCAGCGATAGCATCGAGTGTCAGTGTTGGGTCTTGTTCGAGGCGGTTAAGCAATCGAGTTCTGATGTCTGAGAATTTGGGTGATTGTAGACTGCATATGAATATGAGAGATTTGAATTGGTCATCAGTAAGGGATCTGTGTTTGAACCGTTCACACTCGCGGTTGACAATACCAACATGAGTCAAGAAGTCATCGGACTCATTCATGACTAGTTTTAAACAACGATAACGTGTATTGAAAATAGAATGCTGATCCCCAAAAAGTTTGCTGAGGGACTGAACCGTAGCATCGAATGATCTGTCACGTGGGTTCTGCGGTAGAATGTAGTTGCGATACTTGTCCAGTTCTGACGGACCAAGTTTTCGAAGGAGAAGACGCACCTTCCAGGAATCATCTTTGTCAGCAAAATCAACTTTGAAAAGATCTTCATAACGCATGAACCAAGTATCAAATGTAATATTGGCGTCAGGATCATACAGAAACTCAGAAATACTACTGGTCATACCATCAACTGACTGAGGAATTGTTGGTGTAGATGAGACTTGAGAAGAGATGTGCGTCTGAGTAAGCATCTCCATCAGCTTCAGCTGCTGTGCAAACAATTTTTCTAATGTAGCTGGATCCATAATTAGTCACCAACCCGTCGCCAAATTTGTTGTGAACGCGGCTACGTAAATCTTCAGTCCTAACGGCGTCCAATTCAAATATCACAAAACGACCCAAAGGCTTTCCCAAATCTCCTAGAAATCAGAACGTAACACCGTGGCAGGAAGATGTTTATTGGGTCGTAAACAGAAGAAGTAGGCAGGGGAAACGGAATTATTAAGTCTTCCAGATAGCGCGTATTTATACACTAAGGTCGAATAAGAAAAAGCATCAACGTCTGTGACATTGACAATTTAGGACGACCAATAGAAAAGGACATTTGAATGACATTGACCGTCCAGATGACCAATAAGAGGTAACATTGAAGTATTTGACCCTGACGGTAAGAACGATCAAAATTTCGGCCAATAGAATTCGACCAATAGGATTGCAGTTCTAAAAATAGTATTCTTAGGATATTTGGTGAATATCCTAACAGTTTCTCAGCTTCATTTTCATCCAGGCCAGTGATTATTCAAAGCTATGTTAGCTTCTCTCTTTGTTCTCACATGCTCCATGATTTTTTCCGAACTTTTTATCATCAAAAGATGATTTGTGAAACGTAAGTAATCGGACTGAATTTATTCAATAATTAAATGTCATATAGTTTCTATAAAGTCCATTTTTTTTAATCTCCATAATTTTTCTTTATAGCTGAAACCACCAATATCAATGGACTTTCTGTACATATTCGAGGTAATCCACATATTCTATTGATTGGTGATCCAGGTACTGCAAAATCAATTCTTCTACGTGGATGTACAGCATTGTGTGATCGAGCTGTTTTAACTACAGCTACAGGTACAACAGCAGCTGGTTTAACTGCTACAGCTACACGTGATTCCACTGGTTGGACATTAGATGCTGGTGCATTGGTACTGGCTGATGGTGGTCTATGTGTAATTGATGAATTTACTGCACTGCACGGTAGTCATCGTGCTGCTGTACATGAAGCAATGGAACAACAAACAATTAGTATAGCTAAAGCTGGTCTAATGGCACGATTAAATTGTCGTTGTTCTATATTGGCTGCAGCTAATCCATCATCTAGTTCTATTGTAAAGAATGATGAAGATTTTGGTTTGCCAACACCATTATTAAGTCGTTTTGATTTAATATGGCGATTAGTTGATCCAATTGACTCTATAGAATGGGATCGTCAAATTGCTAATTTTATATTGAATATTGATCAACAATCCGTTGATTCGTTGAGGAATCAACAAAAAACAAAAGTAAATGAATGTGTCTTTTCGTTTTCAAAAAATAAATTAAAACATTGTAATCACATTTGCAAATGATGTTTTTGTCTGCTTATTATTTACTTGCTTACTTAGTTACGCTGGTTGCCCTAAATGGAGCTGAGGAAGGTAGTCATCCAGGATTTTTCTGATTAGTGCGTTGTTTAGCGATTTGGTTTTCTATGAGATGGGGGTGGCTAACCCCATGCCAAACTCTCCTCCTCTATCTGGGCTTGGGATCAGCATAAACCCTAGAAGTGCTTCAGGTGGAGTTATTTTTGCGTATACGTTACATTTCAGTATATAACATATCAACAGAGCATGTATACAGAGCCCTAGTACGACCGAGAGTGGAATGTCTGCTCTTCAACTCTCTCCAAATACTCTCACCAGCGACTGCCTCGACGAGCATTGTTTTGTAGTGTAGGAATAAGTTGGAAGAAAGCTAGGGGCGGCCAAACCAAAACATGGCAGAAATGCATGAAGTCACTGACAAGTGGACTCAGTCGTGTCGGTAGGTGTTGACTACCTGATTGAGGTCCGCGAGATGATAATAATCGATGGTTAGAGACCTTGAATGACATGGCTCAAAATCGTTCGCAATGGCGCCGGTGCATTTATTCTTTGTGTTCTCTCAAATCCAAATCTTCTGGGTTCTTCAACACCTCTAGTTTTGACTTTCTAAACTTTTCTCACTGAATCATACTTCTTGAATAATATCTTCTAATCCTAACCTCTCCGATTACTTCTAATACCTATACTACCTCTTCTACTATTGGATTTGAATCGACAATTATATCTCTGTGTTGGTGTGGTATGGCAACATGAACTGATGTACTTACATACGAAGTTCTAAGTTGCATCTGACTGACTGACCAAATGCTCTCAGTTGGCCACGTGTATATAGCTACTGTCATCAGATTCCTACTCATTGCCTTTGCGTGTTGGCAGTTTTTTTCGATGAACTTCATAGTGAACCTGTATCCAATAAGTGTCATATGTTGTGCAGGTCCCAAGATTTGACTACGATACGTGTTAATATCCTGAAAATGGCTACTTGAATGAAAACCGAAAGCAGGATTGAAAGTCTATTTGGTTGCCGAATGATAAGTATAAATATTATATATATATATATATATATATATTCTACTCCCTTAGAAAATGAATCCATTCCTTGACCAGTGATATGCATTTGTCCTTTAAACCATTTACCCACTTTTGATTGGCTCCTGTTATGATATGTTATGATATCAATGTTTCAACTCGTTACCTTGTTCTTTTATCTCTCTCTCTTTATCAAGCGACATCATTTATCGTCTAAAAATAATTTAAAAGAATATTTTATATGGATACGTGATCGTTTTAAACCACAACTATCTATAGAAGCTGCTAATCTACTACAACGTTATTATATTTGGCAAAGAAATCAAATTAAATCTATATCGTGTCATGATTCATCAGTTGGTTCATTTAGTAGACGAACATTACGTTTATTAGAAAGTCTTGTTAGATTAACTAAAGCACATGCTCGATTAATGTGTCGAAATGAAGCTACGATTGAAGTAAGATTTATTATTATTATTATTATTACTTAAGTTATCTTCAATTACATGTGTTATTATACATTGAAATCATGAATCAATCATTGTTAGACCACTATTAGAAATCTGGGAGCACTGGATGGCCGTTTCGTCCTGGTATAGCACTCCCGACCATAGCTGATACGTTGACGTGGTGGTCGGCTTGCCTATCGTGATGACCCAACCGAGCTATACTGGCTGGAACATATGTTCCAAGTCTGTAAATGATTAACTTTGAGAAACTAATGGATGTGTAGCTATAGATTGTAGGTTTAAAACGCACTGTCTACGTTGATTAGCGCAGCTGAAATGTACTATATACTAGCTTCCAGTAAGTTGAAGTATGATTTAAACTATCGAATTCATAAGCCTCTACAAAGTCCAGGTAATACCGAGGATCACCTATTTGGGCCACAAAAACTTTTTAATTTGTGTGTGTGTGCTGGGATACTGCTCTGTTGCCCAAGTCAAAGCAGCTTGTCTTCTTAGAAGACCGTTCACCAAACGTTGGACTTGAAGGTCTATTCTATGCAGCAGCAGAGCAGTTTTAGGAGATTCAGTCGGTAAAGGACAATGGGTTCATACACTGTTTGTTCCCCCAGAATCTTGTAATTCATGTACAACATTGATTTTGAATCTTAGTGGATCCCTCATAACCACGAACTCTGTTTAATCTACTTTTCGTTCTCTTGCCCTCTGCTACGAGAAGGTAGTAGTGACCAACACATGTCAGACAAGTGGTTATATACTTATGAAATTATGGTTTATTGTTTAAAGTACTTGATTTCCGACTAAGTAGACTGTACGTCTAAACCTTATTGTATATCTAGGTAAAAATCGATATAATCTGTGGCTGCGTTCTGACTCCGATTAAATATGCTGTGAAATAAATCTTCCCTTCAATTTCCGTGTATCATACTTAGGCGAACCTCATTTGTACGAGGGATTCTGTTTTATTTATTTCAAGCAATCGTTCACGTACAAGCAAAGCGAAGCGAAGTGGAGAAGCTGAACAAAATAAGCCAAACATGCGATATGCGAAGCAATCTTGCGCATACACACACTTGAATATAAACAACCAAGATTATGAGCGAATAATTGGCGAAGTCCTAAAGACGTATGAGGAATAATAACTCGAGAAGCATGTATCAGTTAATTAGGCTGGGACAAGCCATGTAAGCTCAACATGAGTGTACACACAAACTGCTTACTACTCTTTATGGTAAACAGCGTCACTTTTTATACATCCATGATTCCTATTTTTATTATTATTATTTCTAGGATGCTGTCATTGTCATCTATTTAGTTGATTGTTCATTATATTCTACAAGTTCTATCAAAACAAATCAATACAATTCAAATAATTATTCATTGTCCAATTTTATTTCACCAGAATTAATTGTTTCAATGAATATCCCAGACAATGCTAGCATGGATTATATACAAATTGAACAATTAGTATTTTCTACTTTAAATTATAATAATAAGAGTATTAATAAAGATGTCCATAGTAATCATGATGAAAATGTTTATGCCAATAGATTTAAACAAAACTATTCAAATACATGTAAAAATATTCATTTAGAACCTTTGCTTAGTTCAACTCAACTAATCACTAACAGTAGTAATAATAATAATAATAATGTGGAATCGAGAAAGTCCTATTCAGAAAACAACCGTCAACGTCATAATTCATCCATTTCTAAAAGAATATTTCATCCAGATGAGAAGGACAGTTCTTTATCATCAACAGTTCTTATTCAAGATGATAATGATTTGCTGACAATGCCACCAATGAAAAGTTTCAAATGGACAGCATTAGATGATTCTGTCAGCGCTGATGATGACCATATCAACAGTACCATTCCTACTACAAAAACTACGACTAATATCAATCTAAACATGAATAAACCTTTATGGAGTAAACATTTATCTTCGAATTCATTTGATATCTCCAATGGTGATGATTTGTCAATCTGCATTGATACATTGAACGATACAAGACAAAATGTTCAATTGTCAATTGACAATAAGTATGATAAAAGCAATAATGATGATGATATTATATCATTTGGTTTTAATATGATGATGAAAGGTGATGAGAATATTTTGAAACGACATTTAAAAAGTGAAGATTTTGAAATTGATTTATAGAAGAGGAAAAAAAACGAGTTAAACTATTGTACATACTTCATTATTATTTTTGTTTTAAATAAAGCGCAAATTTATTTGAAATTATATTTATATATAAAATATAAGTATGGGTATTTTATAATTTATTAGGACACGGGTGCTAGGTAAGAATGGCAGATCAATAGATGAAGTAATGAAACTTCATCAGTTGAGGTGGTTGGGACATGTGTTGCGTATGCCCAACTACAGACTGCCTCGACGAACTTTGTTTTGTAGTGTAGGAATAGGTTGGAAGAAAGCTAGGGGCGGCCAAACCAAAACATGGCACAAATCCATAAGGTCACTGACAAGTGGAGTGAGTCATGTTGGTAGATGTAGGCTACCTGATTGGGGTCAGCGAGATGATAATAATCGATGGTTAGAGACCTTGAATGACATGGCTCAAAACCGTTTGCAATGGCGCGGGTGCATCGATTCTTTGTGTTCTCTCAAATCCTAACCTTCTGGGTTCTTCAACACCTCTAGTTTTGACTTTCTGAACTATTCTCATTAAATCATACTTCTTGAATAATATCTTCTAATCCTAACCTCTCCGATTACTTCTAATACCTTTACTGCCTCTTCTACTATTGGATTTGAATTGACAATTACATCTCTGTGCAGATGTGGTATGGCGACATGAACTGATGTACTTACGTACGAAGTTCTACGTTGCATCTGACTGATACTTTATGTACATAATTAAATATAATTTTGGTAAAAATATCGTTATTTTTATTAATAGGTAACAAGGTGACGTAGTCAGTGAGTATTAAAAAAACTGTTCGATTTTCAATTACTAGATTGCACTTACTTACGCCTGTTAAACCCATGAAGCATAGGCCACCGACCAGTGAATTATTTTTCTGGTTAGCGCTTTTTTAAAGATTTTGTTTTTCTGTGGAATGGGGTCATTAGACCCCTGCCCGACCCTACTCCTCGTTTCTTCGGGCTTGAAACTGACAGAAACCCTAGAAGAGCTCCAGGTGGAGTTACCATATTGCACACCTGAATCTAATTCCATGTACTTTGATTAGAAACAACCAAATAGATTTTGATAGTGAAGGTATTTATTCAGCCAGCTAATGGATTGAAGTCATCGTCGTTGTACTTTCACCTATAATCTCATACATAACACTACTTACAAACCCAAATTGATAAACGTGTACCTAATGAATATATGACCATTGGCTAATGTTACAAAACATGTGGTTAAAATGAATTTATACTAATTTGTACTGATTTAATAGTGATCTGAAAAGCAGTTTTCTAAGTATACCATTTTTATAAGAGATGAAAAGATTTAGAAAGCTTTGACTTTTGAAACTAGTTTGTATAATATACTATGACATCTTATATCTTTATTTTGTTAGTAATGTATTTCTGGTGCTTGTTATCAAAGTGGTCTAGAGCTTAAGCGTTCGTGCGAAATGATAAAAGTCCTGGGTTCACACTGCTCAGGAGTTCCGGTTTTTAATTTGGCGTGTTCGATTGCTAACTAGTAGGTGGTTGGTGGACTTGGCTCGCCGGCTACGGAGAGCCATGCTGTCGATCGACTGGACAGGATGAAAGTTTGTCGATGGTGACTTCCTCTTTCTTCAGCTTACGTGACTTATTATGCAGATGAGTTATCCGTCTGTTAACCAAAAGATGAGTTTACTGTGTAGCAGTTTGGTCCGATCGACCTAATGTGTGTTGGACATGGCCATTAAGAGCAGAGGATAGTCGTAAGTTACTGGTATCCGGTCATTAGTGTCTTCGAATCGTTGCTGCTTTCTTCTGGAACCATCGAGTGGGTGATTCCTGGATTACTAATTAAGAATGGTAAGTGGAATTGATGATTTAAGTAGGCAATGAATCTTCAAAACTGAGGTGGTTTGGTCATGTATTATGTACTTCCAACTACCACTCACCTCGACAGACGATGCTGTTTGGTGTAGGAGTAGGCTAGAAGAAAGTTGAGGGCAGTCAAATAAAAGCGTACAGTCGGATCATTAGCTTTAAGACCGAACCGTGTTAACAGGCGTAGAATAACTAGTCAGGATTTGCTTGGTTATTGTAACCAATGGTTAGAGACGTGGCTCAAAATCATTTCCAATAGTATAAGTGAGTCCATCATTTGTCTTCTTCCAAATTTTAAATTTGTCAACTGATCATTTTTTTGAATCATTCCTTTAATGATATCCTCGATTCCTAATCTTCCCTATAATGACTGATACTGTGTCAACCCCAGTGGGAACTACATTATTCGCCCTATTTACACCGATTAAATCCAAAAACTAATTTCTTCGTACTCCATTTTGTCTCAAGCACAACACACGAACAGTTGTTTTGTGAGAATAATTCTAATCCAAATTGAAATACCCTTTGCTTATTTGACTATTGGATTTCTCCGACAGGAATTTTTTCGTGGTTTATACGTGATAGAATATTACCAATCCAAATAAGAGATAATTACTACTACCAATTTTTCCATTTTAAATGATAAACCCTAACTTAAATTAGCATCTTTTTCAGTAACTTAAACAGCAATATACTTACTTACTTACTTACGCCTGTTACCCCCAACGGAGCATAGGCCGCCCACCAGTTTTCTCCAACCAACTCTGTCTTGGGCTTCCTTCTCCAGTTCTGTCCAATGTTTGTTCATTCCTCTTATATCTTTCTCTATTTCTCGGCGTAGTGTGTTCTTTGGCCTTCCTCTTTTCCTTTTGCCTTGAGGGTTCCATCTGAGGGCTTGTCTCGTGACGCAGTTAGGTGCTTTCCGCAATGTGTGTCCTATCCACTTCCACCGCTTCTTCCTGATTTCCTCCTCCACTGGAATCTGGTTTGTTTTCTCCCACAGTACGTTGTTGCTGATCGTGTCTGGCCAACGAATCTAGAAGAAGCATCGGCCCCGTAACTTCCGAGGGAACTCGGCTTTCATCACGCGGCGTCATAATTCTTCTTCCAACTCCCAGGGTAGAGTTAAAATGGTTTGAATTAGTTTTTCTGGTTAGCGTTTTTTGGCAAGTTAGTTTTTGACGGAATGGGGTCGCCAACCCTATGTCCAACCCTCCTCCTTTACCCGGGCTTGGGACCGGCAGTAGACCCGAAGGTTCTACTGTTGGAGTTAAACAGCAATATCTCAATGTAATTGAGGTCGCGTAAATCAAAATTGAGTATCGAACACTGGATTGTACAAAGTAATCACGTTCACTGTGTTTCGATTTCATCGATAAATATTTATGGTTAACGATTTACAAATTTTTTTAATGGTCAACTGGTTGTTAGACGATTTGTGTTTAATCAGTGAAACATACAATGTGTTGTCGCACTATATTACTTCAATGAGTTATTTAAACTAAATCTAGGTATTCCGATGTGGTTCATCACAACCCCGAAATTGAGCATGCATTAAATCCGTTTAGCAACTGGATTGACCGAGACATACATATAATCATTTCTGTGAACGTCTAGTGTTGACTAACATAGGAGTAGGTAAAATAAATACACAAACTAACACGTAACATCGGTTTATGACTTAATCGTTATCAATCTGATGCATGTTGGTTGTTGTACACTATAGTCGATCAAAATTGGAGCGATAATAGATGGCGCTGCAAATCGTACAGATATATTTATTCTTGATTCTTTATGAAGTCATCGGTTTCGGTATTATTTGATATTTTTTCTCCGGAAGTTATTCTCTCTGCATGTATGATAACACCATACTCCTTTATTTTATCAGTTTAATATCTCTCTGTTAGTATCATTTGTCAACATAGATTCATGAAAATATTTACCGAATTGTACATTGATGATGACCGACACTTTTATACTAACAAGAAAATTAGAACAACAGCTACCTTTTTTAAAACTTTTATTTTTAAAATTGTTCAAGAGAATCTATTCAGTACATTGATAAATTAATCTGAGAAATCTTTAATGGCTGCATTATTTTTTAAGTAAAGCTTGACACTTTAGTGGTCGGCGATCTGACTCCAACTTGGGCGAACGATCGACTATGCTGTGAAATAAATCTTTCATCTAATTTCCGTTGAATGAACCCTGTTTGTGCGATGACAGTAATGTGAACCGAAATACAACTTCGGTTGGATGAATTTATTTATTTCATATACAGGCAGACATGAGAATATAAAAAGCATACAAGCAAAGCTGAGGTGCAGAAAGCCAGCGAACCAACTGAATGCAATATCAAATGACTAAGTAGGTGTATAGTCAGACAGATGTAATCTAAGTAAGCATGCATCTAAGCCATCAAATAAGACCAACCAAGATCATAAGCCAACAATAGACAAGGTTGTTTGTTCATTATACAGGACAAGCCCTATAGGCTTGACATTATTTGTACATACACTACAATCCTCTGTTCTATTTTGTTGCCTCTTTTCTTTTGGTGGTAGAAATTTTTTTATTTTAGAGAAACACTTACAAAAAATAAAAATAGAAAGTTTATTGAATCAAAGATTTGAATTCTCTGTTGAATTTGTTTGATTAATGACATCTTGACGTTTGGTGAAACTGTCATCTGAAATAGAAATTAGCAGAAAGGAAAAACACTTTATACATTTATTGTAAGTAGCGTAAAAAGAAGTGTAACTCATCCAATAATGTAGAAACTTGTTTATTCAGCTTTGAACTAAGTTGTAGTTACATTGAAATCGTGAATTGATCAATCATTGTCAGACTACCATTAGAAATCTGTAAGAAATCTGGTCGGCTGTTTTGTCTATGGGACTATTTAGCTGTATGCATACACGATCCCCGCTAATGGGAATCGAACCCGGGACTATAGATCACGCGTGCGAGCGACTGATCTCTAGACCATCGACCCGGTATCCAATCCATGAGAAAAGCCTTTACCAGTGGAATTCATTTCTGAGGTGTGAGGCAGTTACTCACCGAAGGCAATGGATGAAGTTGTGCGATATCGTGATTGACAGAAGTTAGACATTACCACTGTTGGGTGGTGTCTCAGTAGTCTAGTGGTCAAGCGTTTGAGAGCAAGACCGAAGGTCTTGGGCTTGGATCCTGTAAGTAACATGAGTCGTGGATGCACACTGTTGATTAGTCCCTTACCAGGACGAAGCAGCATTACAGTACTACCAGGTTTCTAATGGTGGTCTAGCATCGATCGATCCGTGTTGGATCATGTTGGATCCCCAGAACTAACTTGATAAAGGTCTTAATTTTACAGTTTATGTTTTCAAGCATGGATTGATAAGCTGACCTTGAGGTTACTTTTCCCATTCGGAAAATCCGTGGCCGTTATTGGTTGACGTGTTATTTTAGTACACTATTATTGTGGCTCTTTCAAGGACATCTCTACGATGTATAAATAAACTCGATTTGTGTGCTTGTCAACATTCGGATTAGATTAGCCTATCAGTGGATCATTTGTCTTCGCTGTCGTCTACCGACTAAGATGGACTCGTAACAGTTTCAAGCATATTCAATTGACGAGCATATCATATTTGACGGGCATATTACTAATGTTTTTAGATGTAGTTTTAGTCGGATTGCACCATTCAGGTGAAGTATTGGCTTGACTACTTATCTATTGTTAAGCTTTTTGTCAAAAATGAAAGGGATTTTTCGTGACAATTAAGTTGGATTGTTTGTGTACTACTGTCTGGAATTATCAAGTTTCCGCATCCGGACGATTCTATACAGAACAGAAATACGGAGTTAGAGAATTCACTGTTAACATCGTATCAAAGAGTACAACAATAACTGCTCCTATATTGGTTATTATACCAAGAATAGGCTTATTAAAACCTGCATACATTATCAGATAAATTATATATACCCACAAAATACTTATCATTTTAATAGTTAACTTACATGTCACTTCCATAAAATGATCTTTATCAAATACTGGTAAGCTATGACGTGTATCTTTCCATTTTATCAAATCAATAATATCAGGGGAACTACTTTGTGCAGCTACGAGAACATTTAAATAATGCGGTTCCATAATTTTAGCTTTGGACATTGAATACCAAAATTTCAATTGATTATAAATGTAACTTTCATTAGTTTGTGTATATTTTAAACCATTTTCACAAGCTAATTTGGCTAATTCATATTGAGTGGTATTCAAAATATAAAATTTCGCTAATAATTCATAAGCTTCAGCTAATTTGTTTGAATCGCTGTCATTCAATAATTTTGTACATTCAACAACATTGATGTAATTTTGTTCAGCTTCATCTAGTTTTGATGAACTTTGGTGAAATAAGTAAGAAAATAACAGGATTATTAATTAAAAAATGATTAACAATAATAACATTGAATTCATTTTTAAGAGTTCGAATCTTCTTACTACTCATTGAAAAGATTGCAAATAATCAGTCTTTATTGACGTATTTACAACCTATGAAGATTGTCGTGAGATTGCCATAAAGTTATAGGTATTTTGAGTAGAATTAAATAGCGGCTAACAGTTAAATAAAGGTTACATGTATCGTCTTATTTGGGACTGTTAAACTAGATGTATTTACACCTTGGAGTTGATATTCAGAAGAGGATTTGAAATTAGTACTTTGAGCTTCTCTTACGCTTGATACGTTAACTACTTCATCCAAACAAACAATGGATTATTCAATGAGTGTGAATTTTAAATTATTTCTAAGGGTTATCTAGGTTTTCCTCTTGATGTCAAGATCTAAGAACATGTGGCAGATGAGCTATAAATATGACGAAACCCGTGCCATAGATGCCTACTAGCTACTATCTAACTCTGCTTATTGAAGAATCTGCTTAGAACGATATCGGTAACAGTTAATGCGTAGTGTAATACTAGGAAACACCAGGTACAGACCGAATCGTCCATTGACAGCAGATCATACTGTGAGGCTGGCTAATCCAGAACTGAAACCACCATAGAGCACAAAGTTCACTCAAGATTTTTGACATACATCATGGATGAGTGCCAATTAGTACAAAGCCTAGGACTGATAACTAACTCTAATCACCTAAAATCAGAGATTTGTATAGTTGACAGATAACTATTATTACGGATTTATTTGAGTACAAGTTAGTAAGTGTAGTCCACATCTCTTTTGGCTTAATCAATCAATTTTTAGTAGTGAATATATGACACTATACAGTCGAGTAGAACTCATGAACATACTATAAACGTGATGCTCATCTTTCATCAAGGATAATTTTGCCTAATTTTTTTCGCAACATAAAAATGAACCTTTATATACTATCATCGTTTCAAAACAATTAATCCCAAGGGTACATTAGAAGACGATAAGATGTAGTGTGTCGAATTAATGCGTGTTCTTAAGCTCGGTTTATAAATGAGAATATGAACTCGTATTGATGAATACGTTTATTCGGGACACATCACAAAGCGAAGCGGAGAAGCAGTGAATAAAACGAAGCAAGCGAATGGATAGGCGAAGTGCGTTGGAGAAGGCAGAGAGCCAACTCAAAGAAATAGAGCATGACTAACAATATATAGTCAGACAAAAATAAGGCAGACATATGACAAGCGAAATAGGCGTGCACACACATGAATAAAAGCGACGAATGATTGACAAGGTCAAATGATAAGTGGGACATGTCATGTGAGCTCATACAAACCAGACAATAATAAGAACGAATGGTGCATATAAATTGTTGCTATACAAATGGCTTGGTTAAATAAATTAATCGAAAGGGCTTAACCAAGTTAGATGTAAGCGAACTGGAATATATGTGGAGGCACTACAAAGAAACTCTTGACTGAAACATTGATTTCAAACTGTTATCCACTAACGTTCATCAGTAGGTGTAGAAATCACTTCAGACAAAGGCCTTTCTTTTATTTTGTTGAATAGAAAAGTGTTTATATCACTTTACCATTTAGAGGTAAATCAAATGGTTGGATCTTAAGACAGAGACTAACAGCAGGCATAGATAAAACATACTACTCTGCTAAACTGATTAAAATTGAAAAGACTAAGCCCATGATTCTACATAGGCCTAGACACTGCACAAGTGGTGATGTCACATTCTACTACACTTATTAATCTACATGTTTGTGTGGGCACACATATATAGGGAGGAGTAATGGAAGTTTGCAGTGGAGGCTTATGGAACATGTAACCAAGTGGCTCCAAAATCAGTGAACGTCAGATAACCCGATAAACGTGGGATATGGAAAACTATGTCCTTTAATTGCAAATCAAATAATTGAGACGGGGTGTATGATCGACATCAAGACAACCTTTAAAACATCGTATAGAAACGTCGGACGATAAATTCTGAGATACATGGAAGTCTTGGCTATTCGTAAATAAAAACCGCCCTTTTGTGTACACGAACAGTTTGTTATAGCCTTGAATTTACTCTGGTAATCTTCTAGCCATTTTATGGCTTAGGATGAAGTAACAATTTCCTATATTACGTTAATTTCCTCTCTCCTTCACACTTACAATTATCAACTTATGTCAATTTGAACTTTTACCTATTGAATTGACTTTTGATTAATCTTCATATAAAATGCCTCGACAAGCGTACATGTGTGTGACCAGATTCGTCGAAATATGTATGGCGCAAATACATCACAACATTTTTCAGATCAATTATATCTTCTTAACATCATCTAAAATTGTGGCTTCTCATCTGAACTTGGAAAAAGTCCATTTTGAAACATACATATAAAATTTTATTACTATTATTTTTATTACACATTTTTGAAACCATGAATCGATCAATGTTAGACCACCATTAGCAACTTGAAAGCACTGGACGGCCGTTTCGTCCTGGTATGGGACTCATCAGCAGTGAGCACCACGACTCCTGCACCCCGCAGGATTCGAACCCAGGACCTTCGGTATTGTGCGCGAACGCCTAACCATCGGACCACTGAGCCGGTATCTAACGGTGTTAATGTACACCCGATCAGGTTGAATTTCACTGATCACGTCTTCCCACTAGAACTCGGAGAAGATTCCTCACGAAGCTAGTCATGTAAATTTATTAAAAAATTTAACAATTAAAAATTACTTTTCATTTATACTTCCAAGTAATTTATATGCTTCAATTTTTTCTAAAATATCATTAGATCTGTCAATTATTTGAAAATATTTTTCGGCACACTGTGAAAAAAATTTCAATAAGGAAATTGAAATAAATTTATCATATATATATATAATTATAAATACTCATTGTATTCAATAATTTAGTTATTATGTAAGTTTCTTCTAATAAATAAAACGGGGATCGAAACGACACAAAATGTACCACCTAAATCACACTCGATGGAAAACCCCTGGAACATTTGGGAAAATTCTGCACACTTGAGCAGCATCATTGTTGAACAAGGTGTATCTAATGCAGATGTGAAGATGGGGTTCGCCAAACCGGGTGTCATTCCTACAATCCGAGAACATTCGGTACTGTCACTGATACAACACCACAGTCACAATTTTCAATGACAACATCAAGACAGTTCTACCGTAGGGAACAGCAGCTTGGAGAACTACTAAAGCCATCATCATCCAAAAGATATGGGTGTTTATTAACAGTTGTCTAAATAAGATACTGTAGATTCGTTGGCCAGAAACCATCAGCAACGACCTACTGTGAGAGATGATATTCAGATCCCAATCGAAAGCACTAGGAGGCTGTTTTTTCTTAGCATGAGACTCATCTGCAGTATCTAGGACTCTCTCACTCGGACTCGGACCTCCGGTTTCGCGCACGAACGCTTAACTTTTACTGGATGGTCGGGCAATAGAGCAGACTGACTGACGTTAGACATTAACATCATTGGCTAGTGGCTCAGTGGTCTGTAGGACCTTGCTCTCGCTCATGATACCGAAGGTCTAGGGTTCAATCCCAGTGTGTGGCAGTCAGGAATGATCACTGCTGATGAGTCCCATACTAGGACGAAAGATCTGTCCAGTACTTCCAAGTTACTAATGGTGGTTTAACATTCATGACGCCTATTAATAAGTTATATCGATTAGACAATAGATCAAACTATCTAACAAGATTGATGAAATTATATTTTAACCATGAATTAAAATGTGAGATTTAAAAATTTTTATCTTGTTGACCAACTGTCTAAAAATACATTTGTTTCTAGTTTAGCCACAACAACTATCTGTAAGGACAAAAAGCTAGAGATGAGAGCATTTATACAAATGAAATAACTACGCCATTATCAAAGAAGTAAAAGAGATATGTGGTGCGTGGAGGTCAGTCAGCCAGTCAGTTACAACGTAGAACTTCTGTTACGCATACTCGTCAACACGTCAATCGATACGCTTGAACCTTAGTCGGTGAACAAGAGAGAAGATCGATGATCCGGTGACACGATAGGCTACTACTCTAATCCGAGCTTCCCTAAACCCCATTAAATAAAAGAAGCCTTAATATGTAGTGGAACGTGTACTCGACATACATCCAAATAGTACGAGGTCCAAGTCTAGAAGAGGATAGGGATCCCGAACTAAGGATCAGGGTCCTACAACTTTACAGATAATGCATATTTATACAATTAGGTCGAATAGGAAACAACGTTGAAGTATGTGACACTGACCAGTAGAATTAGATATACAAATAATTCTCTCAGGATATTGGATGAATATCCAAACAACTTCGTACGTAAGTATATCAGTTCAAGTTGCCGTACCCCACATTAGCACAGAGACAGAATTGTCAGTTCAAATCCCACGATGGTAGAAATGTTAGCGGTAATGAAGATTAGGGTTCTAAGAAATAATTCAAGAAGTATAATTGAGTGAGATAAATTTAGACAGAGAAAGAGAAAAAATGTACTTAAGTTTCATACTTCTCAGAACAAATCAATGAGATGTGTGTGTGAAGCTTTGAAGCCCATCTCTGCGTTACCCTAACCCGCACCATTCAGTGTGGCAATCAGAGAGACGCTAAGTTGGTTGATGCGAATTTGAATCGTTACTGACAACTGACAACATAGTTTCTTGTTAACCATCCCCAACTGTCTAGAAATAATGATGAGAGTTTACAGATTGAACTCCGCCAGTAGAACCTTCCGGGCTACTGCCAGTCCCAATCCCGGATAAAGGAGGAGGTTTAGGCATGGGGTTGGCGACCCCGTCCCGTCAAAAAATAACTTGCCAAAAAAACGTTAACCAGTTTACAGATTGACATGATGTTATCTACTTACGAGAACTCAAATAAATAAAATAAGTTTAGTAAAACTAAATTACTTTTTTTAAAAAACACTATGATTCAACAAAAGAAGTGCAAATTATTGGTCAACCAATGAAATACGTGTTATTTTTATTGATTTAAAAATTCATTACTTTATAAGCTAATTCATATTCTTTATAATATTGATATACTTGACCAATTTGTTTATGGCATAATGCTACAAGTTTTTGATTTCCCGCTATAATTCAATTTTTTTTTTTTTTATTTTGAAATACAGAAAAACAAATAAAAAGAAAAATGAAATAAGTCATTTGTTTTAATTTGTGATATATATATATATAAATATATATATATATATATATATATATATATATATATATTGAACAGAGAAATGAGAAGACATATTTTGTGAGATAGTATCATTTCGTGCTTTCGCGTCGGTCACATACAAGCAACATGTTATTCGTGTAAATACAGTTTTCAAGATAAGGTCAAAATTTCTTATTTAGCATGACTGACGAGAAAGCACGAAATGGTAATATCTCACAAAATATGTCTTCTCATTTCTCTGTTCAAATTTATCAAAGGGAACCACTGTTTTGAATATATATATATATATATATATATATATATATATATATATATATATTGTTTGAAAAATGAATGAGATAGTTTTTTGGACACAGCTAAAGTGGAGATTCGAATTTTGGTGTTTGATAAGATAGTTATTGTATGCGTTTCAGAAAAATCAATCTTAACTACTGTTCGATGGTGCTAGTTAAATATTGGCGTACAGTTCAGTAAACTCTTCGGCGTGCCTTCAAACACTATTCCATGTAGTTTGGCCAAAAGCACTTTTCGTACTGACTTCATTAACAAAGAAAATTAAAGAAACTTGAACAAGATTCTTCGAGTTATTCACTGCAGTTCATTAATTATACATCTTAGATGATTATTGTATTTGTCTCTGATTAAGGTTTAAACAGAATGCACCCATATTTATAAATCACAAAGCTTTGTATTCAAAATGCATTTGTATATCCGTCATTATAATGGACTATAACAAAGGGAATTAAAACAGAATTTTTATTCATGTATTTTTTGAACTAACTTCGTATATTCTTTCACAATTTTTCTTTCTACGCTTAATTTTAATAGTCTTAACTATGAAACTATCACTGCTAGACCACTAACGAAAATCTAGAATCGCTGAACAATCGTTTCTTTCTGGTATGGGACCCCTCTGCACAATACACATCCTCGACTCTGCACGTAGGTATCGAACCCAGCCTCGCACGTGAATACTTGAATTCTAGGTCATTGAGTCAGCATCCGATGGTGAGTTCGATTCCCGCCGGCGGGGTTATAGATGTGCAACTCTGAAGAATCGCATGCTAGGGATGAAATAACCGCCCAACGCTTCCAGGTCTTGAATGATAATCTAACATGGATTGCTTCGAAATGTCAGTGAAAAATTCTAAAAATTTGAACTGAATCGAAAATGTTTTCACTTTGTGCATCCAAAAGATTATAGGAACTACTGATTGAATAATTTAAAATGACATAACTTTCAATCGCTTTCAGTGGTCCAAGTGAATCCATTCTTTGTCTTTCCTCTAAATTCCCAAGTTTTATGAATTCCTCATAGTTTCTCCTTATATATATTGTTCTGGACTGTATCTTCAATACCTAATCTCTTCAAATTTGATTGGTGTCGTTACTGTGTCTGCAACTGTAGGATAACTTCTTTCTGTGGTAATGGAATGTTTCAAATTGAAATGATGAGCGTATGCCTAAATATCAAGGTTGGAATAGATAACACAGGATCTGAAGATATCATGGGACTATATAAACTGAGAGGAAAAAATGAAAATGATTAGAGAATTGCAAACCTATGCGCCTTCAACAAGCTGGTCATAGGTGGCGGCATCATATTCCTACACAAACGCAAACCGAACAACACTGCAGAGAACCAGATCGACCACATCTGCATCAGTGAAAAGTTCAGGAGGAAATGGAAGACGTGAGAACCAAGTAATGGACTTATATAGCCACAGATCATCAATTACTGGTCACCAAGAATAAACTGAAATTCAAGAAACATTGAACAACCGTTCGGACAGCATTACAAAAGTTTCAGTCAGTCAGTTGCAACGTAGAACTTCGTACGTAAGTACATCAGTTCATGTCGCCATACCATATCAGCACAGAGGTGTAATTGTCAATTCAAATCCAATAGTAGAAGAGGTAGTAAAGGTATTGGATGTAATCGGAGAGGTTAGGATTAAAAGATATTATTCAAGAAGTATGATTTAATGAGAAAAGTTTAGAAAGTCAAAACTAGACTTGTTGAAGAATCCAGAAGATTAGGATTTGAGAGAACACAAAGCATAAATGCACCCGCGCCATTGCGAACGATTTTGAGCCATGTCATTCAAGGTCTCTAACCATCGATTATTATCATCTCGCGGACCCCAACCAGGTAGTCGACAACTACCGACATGGCTAAGTCCACTCGTCAATGACTTCATGGATTTCTGCCATGTTTTGGTTTGGCCGCACCTAGCGTTCTTCCAACCTACTCCCACACCACAAAACAAATCTCATCGAGGCAGTCGGTGGTTAGGCCTTCGTAACACATGTCCCAACCACCTCAACTGATGCAGTTTCACCACTTCATCTATTGATATGCCATCCTTACCAAGCCACCGCTTTCTAATAACAGCGTTGCTCACTCGGGTGTCCCAGGATATACGAGCAATGCTTCGAAGACACCTATGATCGAAAACCAGTAACCTAAGAATATCTTCTACTCTCACTGGCCATGTTTCACAGCCATAAAGTAAGACGGAGCGAACTACCGCGCAGTACAATCGTCCTTTAGTCAGCAAACGGATATCTCGTCTACGCCATAAGTGACGCAGGTTGGCAAAAGCTAATCGAGCCTTCTGTATCCGTGCTGAGATTTCGTCAGTCACCAGGCCATCGGCACTGATGAGACTCCCCAGATAAGTCAAGCGGTCTACACGTTCGACTACTTCACTCCCTATCACTAGTTCAGGTGCCGACGAAACCCAATCTTCAAGCAACATTTTGCATTTCGAGGGGGAAAACCGCATCCCGAACATGCTCGCATTGTTGCTTAGGGTAGTCAGAAGACTCTGAATTTTGTCAGCGTCTTCACCAAGTAGGACAATGTCATCGGCATATTCTAAGTCAATAAGCGAGCCGCCTGGTAAAAGTTCTACTCCTGAAAATTCAGACGGGGATAAGGTTATTTCTAGGAGCATGTCTATGATAAAATTAAACAAGAATGGAGAAAGTGGACATCCCTGACGGACACCACTTGAAGTGGAGAATTCCGGTGGCAGTTCGCCATAAGCTCTCACTCGACCAGTGGTGTTTGAGTAGAGAGCTTGTATGAGGTTAATGTACTTCTTTGGTACACCTTTCAATGACACACACTGCCACAGAACCTCACGATCCACAGAGTCAAATGCCGCCTTAAGGTCCAGGAAAACAACTATTGTAGGACGCCTAAATGTGTGTCTATGTTCCAGGACATGTCTGAGTGTAAAGACGTGGTCTATACAGCCACGTCCAGGTCGAAAACCACACTGGTTTTCTCTAGTCTGCTCTTCACGAGCTTTCGTTAAGCGCCGAAGTATTATTGAGGCCAAAATTTTAGATACTATATTAGTTAGACTTATTCCCCTGTGATTGTCACAAGAAGACTTCTGTCCTTTCTTATAGATTGGGACAATCAGTGATTGAGACCAGTCGGATGGGATTGCGTCCAGTTCCCAGATTCTACCTAAGATCTCAGTCAACCTAGCTGCTAAAACTGGAACACCATCCTTAAATATCTCAGGCGTCAGTCTATCAGGACCTGCAGCTCGTCCTCGTTTCAGATTTCCTAACGCTTTTTCAACTTCATTAATACTTAGGGGGACTTAGGTTGATTTGCCATTCAGGATGACTGGAGATCGTGGGTAACCGAAGAGTGGCTCGTGGCCAGTTGAACTGATCCCTAAAGTGTTCTGCCCATCGATCCAGTATCCTGGATTGAGAATAAATAATAGTTCCGTCATTTTCTGAGATAGTCACGGTGTGGGCAGCCGGGAAGTGACAACCGCCCTCATACCCGTGACAGCAAGCGAGACCAAATTTTTCAAAATCAAATCCTTCCTACACCCCCTAGTACCTCTCTTATCTCCACGAATAACCCTTCTCACATTCATTTATCACAGTGCACAGCTAATGCAGACGATGCGAGTTCGCGAAACGTCGTTCCTGATCTCCTTAAACCCCGTTCTAAACTACATGTTGGAGCATTCAATGTACGGACATTGTGTCAAATAGGGCAACAGGCATCATTAACTAGAACTTTAGAATCTCGTGCCATCGATGTATGCTACGTCTCGTAAACGCGCATACAGGATCCTAGTAAAATTATTAATCGGATTTCACCTTGTCAAAATAAAGAAGCAGCTCGATTTACTCTTCGTGTATCCGAGAGCCCTGATGCTGCTTCCAGGGGTCTTGCTGGCGTAGGCATAGCATTGAGTCGTAGAGCTAAACAATCTCTCCTTGACTGGATCCCTGTGGAAAGTCGCTTGTGCGCTGTCCGACTAAATCGGACAGTAAGGACTCGGAAAGATACGGACAATCGCCGTTGCCTCTTCATCGTATCTGCCTATGCCCCCACTGACTGCAGTTCATATGAGGTGAAAGATGAGTTTTACAGAAAGCTTTCGGACCTCCTCCAAAAAGCTAGGCGCTTATCCCGACCGTAGCTGCCACCTTGACGTGGTGGTTGGGCTTGCCTATCGTGATGACCCAACTGAGCTATACTGGCTGGAACATATATTCCTGCAGGTCCTACCATGCCAGGCAGGTCGATTGGAGAACGATGAGACTAAAAGCAGCTACCCAAGGTCTGAGGGCGAAGTCGTACTGCTGACTGCAGAGGGGTGTGACAGCAGTAAGGTGTTTCCCTCGGACAACCAGCATCTGCAGCGATGCTGCCTTCTCACAAGGAAGGAAGGGTTAGAAAAGGTCGACCCTAAAAATGTCACACCTCCCCTAACTCACGGATTTCCGTCTCCTTGGGTAAAGGTACCCACTAAGGGCCTTTAAGAACGGAGCTAATCCTCTAAATACCTTTCATAAAAAGGCCGTGCGTGACCGGCCTCAAGCAGTTGTCCCTTGGGCTCTGCGGTCACGCACCCAGGTCTCTAAGACCATTACAAAAGTTTAATATGGCCTTTCTTCTGGATACTGGCTAACTTAAAGAATTCAAGATAGCTCCCAACAAACAATTACAAGCCTTTCAGGATCTACTCAGTGAAGAGGAAATTACAATGGAGAACAGCTGGAAAGGGATCAAAGAAGTAACAACTTCAACATGTCATGAAGTTTTGGGCCACAAGAACCACCATCACAAGGAATGGATCTCTGCTGATAATCTAGATAAGATTTAAAAAAACTAATAACAGAAAGGCAGCGATCACTGGCATTCGAACGCCAGCAGAGAGAACCATGCCAAGATATTCCGGACCCGTTGACTAGACACCAGCAACAACAACCCACAGTGGCAAAAAACCAGCCTACACTTGGAGGACAAATGACGAAAAGGCACTGGAAGTATATAGGAAACACAATGCAGAAATCACCCCATGGCTTCCCGAGACAAGTCCTAACTTGAAATCTTCAAAACCAAAAGAAAAGAAAACATATCAAAGAACGCATTACGCAGAGAATGGGAGTCGTGAACAAATAGAAAGGTGAATAGAGGATACATTTGGTTAAAGATTGCTAGTTGACGGCCTATGATGCTACTACGTACATTGTGACAGGCATAAGTTCATAAGCAACTGACTAAGTAAACACTGAATTCCTACATTACAATTATTGAATCACACACTTACATTGTTCAGCATATTGTAATGCTTCATTTAAATTCTCCAGTAATTCATTCATTTGATAATCTTCATTATTTGATTGATATATAGTTAAAATTATTTTACATATTTGTTCATAACATACAATATACAATAATGGTCTATTATTATTATTATCATTATCATTATATTCTTCTATTTCAAATGGATTGATTGATGGTTCCAATAAATGTTTATGCTTGTCTAATCTGTGTTGTAATTCTTTAAAAAGTATTAATGATTGTGAATAATTTCCTAGAAGAAAATGAAAAAAGAAAACAACAAATGAAGGAAGGTAAGAATTATAGGATTTTTTTTAAAAGATCATATCTATTGCGAGATTGAACAAGCTGGGTTCGAGTCCCATGACCTGGGGGCTGGTGCATACACGCAGATGAAGAGGTTCGTACTAGCATAAAACGATCATTCAATGCTTCTAATGTTTCTAATGGTGATCAAACATTGATTGATTCATCGTTTTGATATATGATATTGTTACGCTCGTCTCTCGGTATGCTTAAACTATTATGAGTTCACCTTAGTCGAATAACGAGAACAAAACAATCGACCAGTGTCCAGGTAGGCTACTGTGATCCCTTGACCAAAAAGGTATCAGTAAGAAGTCTTGATATAGTGTAAAAATTGTATTCTACAAACACCCAGCCAGCACATACTGAATCCAAGCACTCTATAGAGATGTCCTCGGGACAGTCACAAAAATAGCACACTAAAACGACACAATAACCAATCACATCCAAGGACTTTCCTGGTGTTAAATGTGATCTCAAGGTCAACCGATCGGTCCATGAAATAAATCCAAAATAAAGATATTTATCAAGCGAGTTCTATGGATCTAACATCCCCAACAGATATTGTGAATTTAAAGCTGGCGCTTGTATGTCCAATATCTAGAAAGCCAAGGTATATCTATTTTCATATGATTTTATAGAATAATTCGATAATCTTTGTTATCATACAAAAACATAGAAGTGAAAATAAAGCTCAATTTTTTATAAGATAATTTTCAGTACTTTCGGGTTTCTAACAGTGATCAAACATTGATCAGTCCATGATTTCAGTATATGATACTGTGAATTTTACGTATTGATATGGAGTTCGGAGTTCATGACAACTTCATAATACTTATCAAATTAGGAACGATTGATCTACTCTGATATAAACAGTTCTATTATTTTATTCACTGATAACAACCAATACACTATACATTAATTCTTGTCCAGTAATACAGTAGTGTGCAAAAGAAGGGCAGCATTTCTACAACTGAAGAACATCTGGTTCTTGAAATAATTATCAGCCAACACTATAGTCAGAATTTCCAGTAAAAATGTCAATAGAGTTCTACTGTATGCAGCAGAAACTTGGAGAACCACCAAAGCCATCATCCGGAAGATACAAGTGTCTACTAATAGTTATCTGCGCAAGATATTGCAAATCCGTCGGTCAGACACCATCAGTAACAACCTACTATGGAGGAGAACTAACCAAATTCCACTTGAGGAAGAAATCAGGAAAAATTGCTGGAAATGGATAAAACACACAATGAGGAAGACACCTAAATGCGTCACAGGACAAGCCCTCACTTGGAATCCTCAAGGCTAATCGCAATGAGGAAGACTAGGAAGCACATTACGCTGAGAATCGGAGACAGAAATGAAAAAATGAACAGAAGTTGGATAGAACTGGAAGAGAAGGAAGAGGGGAGAGTTGGTTGGAGAATGGTGATTGGCAACCTATGTTCCATTCAGGGTAACAGGCGTAAGTTAGTAATCGTGTGAAGCACCTGAATTTCTACGATTTTGATGTTATTGGCATAATTTAAACTTTCTTTACTTTATATTCATGTTTAATCCATTAAACGTTTACCAGAGTAAATTCCTAATTATTTATTATCTAAATTTATATCATCATATTAGATATTCCATTAAAAAGTAATAGTTAACCAATAAAACGTCACGGATCATTGGTTGGTTATTATTAATGTAGCCAATCACATTCATTTTCAAAATTCAATTTGATGAATTTGTTAAAAATAGTCTAATCACAAAAAGAAATTTTGAAAAAAAGTATATATACTTTACCTGTTTCATTTAAATACATAGCATTATGATAAATTGCTTCAAATAAACGTTTTTTAAGTGATTGTTTTATTTCTTTTAAAATATCATATTCTGTGGCATCAATATTATAGATTTCTTTTTTAATTGATATTAAATTTTTCATTGCTACATAACCTTTATTAGCAATTTTTAAACATTTTTTCAAAAAAATCTCTAATAACCACTGATCATTAATATTGGATCGAAATAATCCCGCCAAATATAAATATTCTTTGTAAACTTCTTCAATTTGATTAGAACGATGAAAATTCTCTGCATTCATTAAATGTGTCATCATTTCACAAAGTAAATCATGTCGTTCAGTTAAAGGTTGATTAAACCATTGTGTAGATGATGATGATGATGTACCTGGTGTATTAAGTTGTTGTTGTTGTTTCATTTCATAATCAATCAGTTTAAATAATTTTGAATATGTTTTATGATAACCATTTTTAAGAGTAATAAGAAATAAATTTTCATGAAATTTAAAACGATACCTAAAAAGAAATAATAATAGTTTGGATTTATTTCATTTGAAACACAATTTAGTGAATGAATGAATGAGTGAGTGAGTAAAGAATATTGTTCAATCGTATTGGATGTAAGTCAGTTCCCAGATGAAAACAATACCAAACAGTGGCGCAATATCCTCTTGGATTGATTGAAGTTAGACATGAACACCGTTGGATGCCGACTCAGTGGTCAACAGATGTTAGCATTCACTTGCAATACTGCAAATCCTGTGTGTTCCATTTTTGCTTGCTGGATGGTGAATTCACACTGCTGATGAAATCACTACGTGGGAGAAAGAGCTGTTCGATTCCCCTAGGTTCTCAAAGGTACTCTAACGTTGGTCAATTCATGATTTTAATGAAATTCTTATCAGGTTCTACACTTGTGCACCCATGTTAATAATCCGGAACAGTAACTGAGTTTGAGGTAACTATATCGTTCGTAATTAAAACACATTAATTTCATATCATTAACGCAATAAATCAACATTACTGGTGATGGTCAGGATGGAAAATTGATCTGAATATTATAACCAATACAAGCTTCATAAATCAATACATGAATCCAGACTAAATTTTTATTGAGACGACAGACTAGCTGAGATTAACGAACCATTGAAAACCAAGAGACACTTAGTAACAGTTTCGCTCTAGTACAAGACTTCTCAGAACTGCAAATCCACCAGTTTCCAAGGGATCGAACTTGAACTTATCGAGAATACCAATTAAAACAAACTCTATTGGCTTTAGTGTTTTCATACAGATTCTGATTCACTATTAATCATATCGTAATAACATTTCGGCAGTGAAAGAGATCAACAAAATTTATCTACTGTATTTCTGTGTGTCAGTTACTTACATTTAGATTGTGGAATATTCAAGGTTATTATTAAGTATTTGGGATTACGATTTTGTTTAATATCAAAAATCTTTTATTGGATAAATATGTTGGTTCTGACGTGTGTTTGTGAGAACAAAATATGATTGGTTATCGAGCCTGAACATATTGCCACTTAGCCTCCTACTGTGTATGACCTCTTGTAGTTGCGTGATGGGATAAAATATTGTCTGTTTCTTGTAGTCATGAATCCAACAATGTCAGACGACCGTTTGAAACGCGGAAGTACTAGACGGCCGTTGTGTCCTGGTACGGCACTCATCGTGACTTCAAAAACTAACTCCACAATCTGCACAACCCTATCATGCAAATTATCGTGTACTCACTAATCATTAGCTCCTTGACGAAATTCCTCCGAATTCAACCCTGTTCAGGTGTGAAGCAATGCTCAACGAAAACAATGGATGAGGTTGCGCAAAACCGTGGAGTGATCAAAGTTAGACACTAATACAATTAAATGCCAGCTAAGTGGTCCAGAGGTCAGGTCAAAGGTCCTTGGTTCGAAGATCGTAGGCGCCTTCTGCTGATCTCCACAACCCTTCCATACATATTGCTTATAATCCGATTCTCTATTTGCTTCGTGAACCGTGTTTCTGGTTTTACCTGGTCTAATCTATGTGTAACGAGTATCCATTCCGGTTCTAGTATAAATTCGATCAGCCATTTTGGCTCATTGTAATAATATATAGATCGTAAAGAAGGAATATTTCAAATTTTCTCGTTATAAACATAATAATCTGCAATTTTAAGCAACGATTTTATACAATTATAATTGATGGAAGTCAAGAAATTCAATGGTTTAATATCAAAAATTCACAAGTAGTATGTCTACTAAAAGAAATATCCAAGACAAACATTTTCATAGGTGACACCAATGATTAAGATGTCAAAAAAATGAGGGATACTTGACTAGGCAATAGAAACAGCATCAAATATCTGATAGTCTGCGAGAATATAGTATTTTATGGTATTCAGTTAGAAAGTAATCCTTATAATATGATACGTGAATAGAATTGTAGCACAGAATAACATTCTTATTTACTTACTAAAGCCAAGATAACATTATTAAGTCATTCCAAACTAAATTTTATTTACAAATCGTTGCTACTGTTTTCTAGAACCATTCAGTAATCGATACATAGGGTACGAATAAAGTGTTATCTAACAATGATATATCGATTGATGAGGTAGGTTCTGGATCTTCACAACTGAGGTAGTTGTGACATGTATTACATATGCCCAGTCATCAAATTCCTCAACGGATGATCCCTCCTTGTGTAGTAGTAGGCCTAATGAAAGTCATGAGCAATCAAATTAAAACATGAACTTAACTAATTGGCGACTAAATTGTTCCATGTTCATTAGTGTAGACAAAATAACTGGAATCTGCATAGTTATCATCATCAGTAGATAGAGACTAAGAGTGAAATAGCTGAAAATTGTTCGAATAGTGTAAATGCATCCACTTTGTCTTCGCTAAACTTCTGAGCTTCTGAATTAACCCTAATTTTTTTCTTGTCCTCTCATTAACTGATTTTCTGCTTGAATCATATCCTCAATATTTAATCTCTCCGGTCAAAGCTGGTAGTTTTAAAGTCTCTACTACTGTGTGATTTATCCTCTGAGTTTATTTCTGTGCTAATGGGATATATTAACCTTAATTGATGTCCGTACTTAATAGATTCTACGTTCTGGCTTACTGACTGACTACAAAACCTGTATACAAATTGAATTCCATTCATGGACTGACTATTACCCTGTACCAAGAAGTAGCTTGGTCATCGATTGTTATCATTGATGAAGTATATTCTCACTTTTAACTTCAGTAATCTCATCAATTAATAATTCCTAATAAAAGTACAAAAATTCTGTTTCAAATTTAATTTCCAGTACAGATATAGTTGTTCTTTTATGAGGAGATTTATATTGCCTGGTTTATGTGGCTTTGTAAACTTCATTTTATCGTGTGACTTGTTTCATCCCAGTATTGGAGATATCAGCTGTCAACATTCATAACTTTTCAAATTCGGAGCTGACAATACTCATGTTCTATGACCATTGCTCAGAGATTATAAGCGTACAGTGGAACGACTTTAACTTCAACAACTTCTATGTGACGAGGAAATTTTCTAGAGCCATTAGTGATGAACGTTTAAGCTCTACCGGTTTCGACTACACTATGGGACTTTAGAAACACCGTGAGGTATGTCACTACTGAATAGACTATTATAGCTTATTAAAAAGGGTCTCCACGAAGCCATTTTCAATTTGCAGTCTGGATGTAACTTTTCGCCAGAAATGATATCTGTAGAAGATTCACTGTGGGTCAAGAACCATGATTACTGAGCAGTAAACAGGTACAGCTTCATGTTTGATCAGACACGTCTAAATTCGTACGTACTATATCTTAAATTCTAGCATCAGCTATGACACCTTTAGATTACCACCTGTTCGAAGATATATATAAGCAATTCAAGAGTTTCAGACCAGGGAAATTCGCCATCAGAATATAAAAACTGACATTCTTAAGTGATTAAAAATGTAGAAAGAAACGTTTCGAATTTAAATTGGATCAGTTATATCTGTTCGGTTATCAAAGAATAAGACCTTACAGGAAACAAATACAAACTAAACTTGAAAGTATAAGACCATACGGCTGTCAAAATAAACCAAAAGAATGGTTTCTCCTAACATCAGTAAGGCTATTATTAAAGGTACTTACGACAAATCTGGATAGTTTAACACCATATAGGTTGAGTATTATCGATTAAATATTAAACTAGAGGCATGATATAAAAAAAGGGGTGAATAATATACTTGATAATTTGGTTCAGAAGATATAAACGGAAAGTTAGTCGGTAAATATGCATATCGCTTCAAGTTGTAATACCCCATTAGTACAGAGAGATTAAGTTGTCAAGACATATTCCAGATTAGTGTAAACAGTATTGATGAAAAAAATTGTTGAAAATTGAGGATATAATTTAGGAGAGGAATATAGGTTAGTAGAATAAAAAAGACTCAAAGTAATCTGAAAACAAAGAGTAAACGTGCCTGCATTGCAGCAAGCAATTCCAAGCCATGATTCCATAGATGTTGAACCATTGTTTACGGTAGAAGTAGTCCTTATTGAACTTAAACGCTGGTAAATGGCCTAATTATATGATAATTCAATCTTTCTATTAACGTTTATTGACTAAAAAAATCTGAAATTCATTGTCAGCAATAATGTTAAGGTCAAACTACAAAACAACACTTACTAATGCATACTAATTTTTGCACTTTGTTTAGAGGAGTTTATGCAAATTGTATGTTTGATTTTATTTAAAATATGGAAACATTATGTCAAGGCTTTCAATGTCATCTTCTATAATAATCAAGTTACTTTACAAAGTTTAACCTATAGAAATAAATATGATAGATAGGATTCCCCGGATTTCATGCAATAAAAAATTTAACCATCTTACTGTAGGTTGGCTGACTTTATTAAACAACTCTACTGAAGTTTCTGCTTCGCTATGTAATGGTATAGTTCTCAGTTAAGTATGATTACTACTACAGGCCAATTAAGTATCAATTACCAGGTTAGATCCCTCCGTAGTATAGATATTAGAAGGAAAGTTGGAGATTAGTATTATCATATATTTTTTGGCGATCTCGCGGTACTGAAATAATACCGAGAACCTTCTCAATGTGGAGTTCAATACACTATTTAGCCCGAAAGTTTTTATAAAAGTGTTATCAGACATTTCTTCACTGTCAGTTAATTTGTTTTAAGTAAATAAGGTGGTAATGAGATGGTATTCCACGTTTTATGTTTCAAAAAAGGGCACAGGCAATGGATAGTGAAGATTTTCATAAAGTTAGTGGCTTTAAAAAAGCTTAAAATAAAACCTTTTTTGAAAACGGCAATATAAGCTCAACCATCAGTACTAAAGAGTATTTGTCGTGAACAAATTCATTAGTTGAGGAAGTAGGAATCAGCTTACGACAATTCCAGTATATCGTTCTAGGAAAGTTAAGTAGTCGTGAAAATGTCCGTCCTGTAGTGGTGGGATTCTGAGCCATCACTAAAACCGAATGACATGTCATTTAGAACTCATTGAGAGTTCTACAGTATGTTTTTTGTTTTATCTATCAGACATAAATAAGCATTTACAAAGAATCAGAGGATAAAAATATGTCGACTGTCTTTCGAAACTTTCTTACCAGTTGACATCAGATCTGCTGAGTTTTGGAAGAATGCATTCATCTAAATTACTGTTGTTGAATTCTTCAGTAATTTCCAGTTCTTCAACCGAACCTTTTACGTATTGCCAACTTTCTTTATTCTCGTTATCAGTGTGCTTGTTTTCAAGATCATATGAAGATTTTCTACAGAAAAGTACGTTAGAATAGACAACTTTCTTACTCAACAAAGTCGGAGGTCATTTGAAATATCACCGTCAAGACTTTGTGGATACAGAATATTGTGGTGCAGCTAAACAAGAAGATACCGTTTAACAATATGATCTTTACTGGCCTGAAATCTGACTTTTATGTTAACGAGCAGTCAAACACGGCTTTTCAGGTAACTTTAAAAAATCTCAAGCCCTGCAATTCGCCACTAGTCCGGATGGTTCAAGCTATTTCTCGATGGTCCTTGAAGAATTAATCTATTCGCACAATTATTTTCCCATTCCTTACCTTACTAGTGAAATATCTTCATTAACCTACGTAAGTGCAGCTGTAAAGTTTGTGTCCTTATACGGAGAGTGAAAGGTATAGGTAACCATACCTTTGTTTTCACCAAAAAAGTATCTGCTGAGTCATATCTCAGCTTCAAATAAGAATATTTTTCGTTTAGCCTCCTGCCTCTTCTCTTTCTCTTTTTCAGCAATTCTTCCTGCGAGTCAAACATTAGGCTTGATTTTGGTTACTTTACGCAGGAGCCTGTCCAATTAACATCTGGCGAATCTCAACTCCGCCTGGAGCTATTTCTCTTAAGCCATTTACCATTTAATTCATTGCCTTTTTTAATGCTGTAGCTCAAGAAGTTGTGAGTGAGCTTGCTAAAGGATTTCCTGGAAGGAAGTGAAACAAGTTCACGGTTACAGACATGCGTCGTATACGTCGTTGACATGGAAAAGTAACATCAGTATCATTGAATAGTTATACCCTGTTCAGTAAGCAAAATATTATGCCTCGTAAACATGGATGAATTAAGCTTATCGCCCTATGAGAATTGCCAGTTTAGAGGAAAGATTAATTTGTAAGTAATCCAGCGTAGACTTCATCCGGAGTCACCTATCTATACGTTATAAACTTGTTAAATCAAAGACGTGTTCTTTTGAAATTTCGGTCTTCGTTGATATCAGTGTAATTACCTATGCCACTAGAATATCAGACCTAACTCGTTATTGCAAACTTCATGTTACAGAAGTACCTGATCTATGAAACCGTACAAAGATGTCTGTCTGTTCCGATTCATCCTATCGTGACAGCTATTAAGATTCCTTCCAGGAACTATTTTGGAGAGCATTCACGGTAGTAATATAAAAATGTATTTGAGGGAAAAGCAACAAATAGCATTGAGTGATCACGAGTGAATGACATGGCCACGCTGGCTACGTAAAGTGTTCCGATGTTCTTTTCCTCTGACCTTATTTAAATGTTCAATGGCCGATGCAGAATTGTACAGTATTTTGATGCTCAACCTCATTTGTAAGGCGGATGCCAGTAAAATCCCAATGTATATAAACCGCGGAACTGGAGGACTACTACACAGCTTTCCCCGCGATCATTGTCCACTAAAGTTATTATAATCCTTTCACCATACAGTACTCATACAAATAATTCTGGAATAACAGCAAAACAATGACAAGCTTTTCTTTACGCTCCTTCCTAGTCATCCGAAACATTTTCGGACACTGAAACTCGGTATTATCTGCGTCCAGTGGCTGAATTCTCCATGCATTCTTTTCTTCGGAATCCTGCGGAATGTTTCGCTCAACTGAGGCTAGAAGTTTCTTGGTTCATTTAGTATCGTCGAAAGTAGACCTGTTTTGATAATCTCTATGTACAAATAAATAAAGACTTCAGAAGTGTTTTGTACGGTGTACTGCTGTCCTATCATCCAGTCTGCTGGTTACGAAGTATTCAGATTCTCCTTTTCAGACGTTTGATTTGGTTGAAGAAAAAGCTTGTTTGTAACTCACAAATCGGAAGTAGAAAAATAAGTCTGTGTAATCATTCATAAGGAAGAGTGAAATCTAATTGACGTTTCGGAACTCCTCACAGTGGGTTAAATAAGATTCATAGGCGATGATTGCAGGTCCTTATCATACTCCAGTGTTCAAATACAGCATATTCTGAAGTTCCAGTCTGCCACATATGGCATTTCAACTTACAGGCAAGATAATTATATTCCGAATCTGTTACAAATCCATGGGACAGGATGTAACCCATACTAAATTGCTCACTGAACTAGCACGTGTTATTTTAAATCCCTTAGGCATGTCTATCTTTTACTTACGGTAGTTTGCAAAGTGACTGAAAGAACGTCATAGTAAGCCCTGCCTGCAAGACAGATATCAGACGTACACCTGAAAACAATCAGCTGGTAAGCATGACTAGCACGCTGTGAAAATTTTGTAAAAGATTATTCTCTAGAAGCTGTTCCGGTACATAGACGAAAATCAGATTTCCTCCGAGAAAAATGAAGGCTGTTGTTTAGGCTGATCATGTTTTGCGAACCTGCAAGTAGCCTGTGAAAGTCGGTACGCTCCTAAATATCAGATTCTAACAATAGATGTTGGCTTCGCTGACTTTAGAGAGGCTGCTGACCAAGTCCCTGACAACCGGTCTTGGTTCAATTTAAGTGATATTGTAAGATATTCAAACGATCAATAGATCATCTTAGAAACTACCAGTTCCATAACTAATACAGATCACTCAGCCTCCTATATTTCCAAAGTGATTCTGATTTACTGTGACCCTTCTTTTCACTAGAATTCCAACAGGTGTCTACTGATTTGACCAACTTTACCTGGTCTCTGAAGAACTCATAAAAGTATGACTTACTGCATTTATGACTGCGGTGGATAGGGAAAACAGTCGTTCAAGATGTGACAATATGCTAAACAAAGGGTAATAGTCAAAATCCAATATAAGGCACCTAACCGATAAAACAACATGGTAATACAAATGCAAAAAAGGTAGTGCTGAAAATAAAATATTATAATATGAAACAAAAATGCCAATCATTATGCACAAAATTCTAAAAGCCACAAGTGGAATTTACGTAACGAAAAAAAACTCTTCTGTCTGATAGGTTCAGGCGGATGTAAGGGAATTTTTACTGAATAATAACCTGGGTCAGTAGTCTCATGTAGTGTAGAATGACCTGAAGGCATTTAATAACACCTCAGTAAATCAGCAGCAAGAAAAATGGAGTGGCGTAGATAGCAGATATTTGAGAAACAAGGTTAGCTTGAATGTCAACGGATCGTTAAAGTACATTTACAAATGTCGATTCTAAACCGTAGATATTAAACATGATTATGATGACATAAAAAGCGTTACAGAAAATCACCACCGCAAAAATTAAAAAATATACATCTGACTATGTGCGACTGAATAATTATTTTTTTCTTTTTAAAAACACAGCCCCTTTAGTCACCCAAATCTGTCCTAAAATATTTTCCTTTATATCAACCAAATATTTCTGAATAAGTATGGATTTTCGCTGACACTTTATTGACCACTGCGTTATTAGAGATTGATTTCTGGTTATTTAACCTACATCAATAATTGCGTTCTGTCTTTTATTATCATTGTTTGTTTAACCACTCTAATTGAAAACACGAATTTTTGATACATTTTTGAAATGAAAGAATCCACGGAAAGTCCGAACCACAGGGCAAGACTTTGTCACTTGAAATTGTGGCCAAATTTCAATGGATACGGTTTTAGCCTGAGAACTGACTCTTTTAAGCATGAACATAAAGTTGAAAATGTTGAGCCTCTTTCACCCAGTGAATCAGGAGGTCTTCTCAATGGCGATATAATTTTGATGGTGAACAACAAAATTGTAGGCAAGTAAAATTACAGACTTATTGTGACTTAAGTAGATCGTCTTTCTCATGTTGATGTTGTGAGAATTATCAAAGAAAGGTCTGATGTCGAAATGCTAGTTGCACAACCGAAGGACTTAGCACATTTTCGGAAATCCGCTGATGTAATTAGTGCTGCAGTTAAAGATCCCATAAAGTGCGAAACTTCAGAAGAGGTAAAAAAATCTTTATGCTTATTATTCGCATACTCCTTTTTACCTTAACGTTTAAAATGGGTTCGTATGTTTGCTGCATAAAATAGAACGTGCCTCAACAACATTAATTTATGTTCTGTTTACTGTCCACGATAATTGTTTGTTAAAACAATTCGATTAGGTTCCTTCATGTGTCATCTATCAAAAATAAATTTGACCTCCAAGGCTCTGTAGTAAATTTATCTCATTAATCAAGGTATACGTCAGTGATATTTGACCAAATGAGTGTTCTACATTTCTTCGGTGCTTTTCAGTTTACCAAATGTTAAAAATTTCTTTTGAGTTATTAAACTGGTGTTTTAATATTCCAATTATCCAGCCTATTGTTTAATATTCTCTTCAGGACTTGAATAAACTTACCAGCGCTGAGAAACATTTGATCAAAGCAGATTTAGATACAATGCATGAAATTTATCAACGTAAACGGAGTCTTCTAAAAGCGAATGACTTAACAAATCGCCTTCAGCACCATGGATTAGGCGGTGCTAAAAATGGAGAGAGAACACCAGTAAACTACGGTTTTGCTAATGGTGTGGAACACCGAACGTAAAGTTCCAGTCAAATATAGTACTGAAAACAGGTGGGTACTTTGGTATGTGTTTTTTTCATTACTGTCATAGAAGACTGATCAGCTGTCTTACAGATTTGGATAGTCTGTTGATAGTTATGTATTAAAACACAAAGTTAAAAATTTTAAGTCATCTTGTAAGCTTACATTTACTAAAACAGTTAGCACTAACTATGAGCGACATTATAGTAGAGGTAGTAGAAGTATTAGCGGTAATCACAAAGATTAGGTTTTGAAGATATTACTCAAGAAGTATAATCCAGTGAAATAAACTTAAGGGGAGAAAGATAAAGGTGAAGAAGAATTTAGAAGATTAGAATTTGAGAAAACACGAAAAATGGATGCATCTGCGCCATTGCACACTATTTTGAGCCATGTCTTTCAAAGTCTCTAACCATCGGTTACTACTGTCTTGCGCACCCCAACCTGGTGGTCTATACTTAATAAAATGGCTCAGTGCAGTTGTCAGTGACCTCATGGACTCGTGTCAAGTTTTGGTCAGACCTCCTCTAGCAGAAATACAGACAACTTAATCGTAAGTTTCATAGTTGAATAGCAATGACAGATACATCTTTTCATTCTAAAACCTATCAAATAACATTTCAGCTTGGTTTAGTTCATCAAATTTAGATAGAATTTATTTTATCTAATAAAATTAAAAAAACACGATATTAGCGATTAGATTAGTTAAGCTTTTAGTGAATAAAGTTGGTAAACAACCAATGCTTTCAATTAGTGTACTTAGATTCATTACGAGACTTTTAATTGACTTATGAAGCTCAAGCTTTTCTATATCCTGTCAGAAAACTGATATTTTGACCACTCACATATCGTGTAGTCTGAAGCCGGATTCTTTTATTTACTCTTGATAAACGAGTTGCAATATTGAAGAATGCTCAAAATCTATATAAAATTATGGATGTACTTATTTCTGCACATAATTTTTATGTACATCTGACTGTCTGAAGAGACAGGAATCTGAAATCTCTGTACGATATATTAAGCTGTCTGTCGAAATTCTAGAACTATAACACTTGATAAATAATTTATATCATGCAAATGTTATCTAAAATAGTCATCACCTTATTAATTATAAATGTTTTCTAACAACCGAAATAACGATTATTTACATATCTCCGTTATACATGGATTGACCTAGTCGGTGAATATAGAGATAAACTATTTTTGGATTTTAGTGGAAAGGATTTGTAGATCAGATGAATTATTTCGATAGAGTATGGTTTTCTCAGCTAGTTGACCTAACTATGAAGCTTTCATCATTCTCCTAAGCAACATCAACGACACAAACTTCGGGTAGACTTGAATTTATCTGTATATGGTTCAAAGATTTATCCTATCAACCTGGAACTTGGTTCGCTTTTACTCATTTTTGTTCTGTAGTTGTTCGAATATCAATTTTAATCGTTATCTGTATCTATAGGATTTAATTTGTCCCAGAGATGTACTTCTAGAACTAAAAACGCAATATTGGTGAGCACATAGTCTATGGGAAAGCTATGGTCAGAACAAGACCAATTTTGCTCCAAACTTTATCTGTTTCTAAACATAAAAACAATTAGATCAGTACAATAATTAAGGAAATTACAGTTATAAAGTAAAATGAGCAAACGTACCGACCAATATAGGGTGTCTTATGGAAATGAATAAAGTTATGAGTCATATCAATATAATAAGACAATAATGTCCTTCAATTAGTAGGTAATTTACAACAAAGAAAATTTAAAGACACGTCAGATCAGATCACGTGGTGGGCGCTTAAACCACAATTTGATTGGTTAGTTATGACATAACTACAATTAGTTATGGAAGTAACTAACGTTCCCCCCGAAGCGGTCACCACGTCTAGTCCCCGTTACCGTCGCGCTGGAATAATCGACCTGTTCCAGTAAGCATAGGTTCCATATATCTCGGGTGATCTCTTTGGTGTCTGTCTTCAATCGAATCGTTCTGACTCAGCCATCTGTAGCACAATTAACCTGTCTAACTACAGCTTTCGCCCACAGATTTCTCGGCAAGCCAGTATTGTTTACTAACACTGAGTCTCCCTGTTGTGGATTCCTACTCATTGAATTTATGATGCGTTTCCATATACCGCCTCCAGGATCGAAAATCAATGCCAAATACGACAAAATATTCCTCCTGGTTAGGTTTCCAGGAAACTCATGAGCTTTGAAAAATGATTCCTTCGCTCAGGTATTCTGTTGTATCCCCAGCGTTCGTATACTTATCTCGTTGGATCCGCATACGTTAATGTTTCCTTCGGTACGATCTTTCTCACTAATTGCACCTATTCTCAAAGTTCGTGAGTTGACAAGAGCAGCTGGCATTTGTAATCGAATGAGAGTATTACTCAACAGTCTGTGTCTATACACTAAAAGCACTACTATCCATGACCTGCAAGGAGATTCGTTATTCTCTTCAGCACTGTTGTTGTGTATATCATTTAAATGGAAATCAACAGCTCCAACATTATTCCACTTCTGTTTATTAGCATCAAAAATATGAGTTCCGCAGTGCTGTCGAATGACTGGCATTTCTCCTTCACCAGCAACTAGGTCGCCTTCCGCTAAAGTTAACGTTTTTTTCCGTTTATCTTCAACTACTTCCTTAGCAGGATCCTCTAGATTTTTCGAATCGTTAAAGTCTGTCTGAGAAGCTGCAACTACTTCAGCCGGTGTAGTAAAAAGACATGAAGCAGAATCATGACTTGTAGATAAAGGTATCCATAAATTAACCAAGGCATCTTTCATCACATCAGCATTCACAACGCGTGACGAAATATTTGATACGAAGAAATAATCAGACGGAATGCCTTTCTTAGCTGTAGCAGGACTTGATAGAATGGTAGGCGACTTAGCTAATTCATCTGATACTGCGAGTGACGCAACGGAAGCCTCTGTGAGAGAAACCGGATGATTAGAAGGAGAACTAGAAAAATCCTGATCTACAGATTTAGTGTGGGGAGGGTTTGTTCAATTCAAGTTTTTCTGAATTTTATCATGTTGATTGTTACTTTCCGTAGTAAACAAATTTGATTTCTTCTCGGAAATGGCCATGACTTGATTAGGATATTCTCTTCCCCTTTGATGTAACCGTTCTAACTCAATTTCTTTTTCTATCTGAGCTAAACGTACTTAAGCTAGTTCTAACTCTTCATCAAGATAGTGATTTGGTTGGTGCTTGTTGTTTCATATCAGAGAATCATGATCGTTCCCGTGTGTATGTTGAGACCTACTGCTTCAGAGGCTGCTACGACACTGGTTGTCTTCTCTTACATTTGTTGTTGTGTTTTCGATAGTAAAGCCAGATCATCCAGCTGCTTCCTGACCGTCCACCGTATTCAGAGCTGTCTCCAGAGTCTGACGTCTTCATAATCCAATCGATCTCCAGGAGAAAGAGAAAGGATGAGAGTAAGCAACCCTGCCTGACATCGGTCTTCACCTCCAACGAGTCTATGAGCTGTCCTCTGTGCAGTTTAATCCATCGTAGGAATTCCGTATAATGTTGACTATCTTCTTAGGAACGCTATAGTACTGAAAAAGCCTCTATAGTATTGTCCTGTCCACGCTATCAAATATTTTCTCGTAGTCGAAGAAGTTGATATAGAGTGTTAAGTTCCATTCAATTGATTGTTCAACAATGATTTGTAATGTTACAAATCTATTGATACACGATAGATCCTCACGAAACCCAGCCTGGGGGTCTTGAAGTTGGGCGTCTACGAAGTTCTTCATTTTGTTTAACAATACACCGTTGGAGACTTTCCCTGGTATTGATAGAATAATGATGTCTCCGTAGTTGTCACACTTGATGAGATCGCCTTTCTCTGGTATTTTGATCAGGTATCCTTTCCAGTCTGTTTTGTACTTGTTCTTCCTCCCAAATCTTGTTGAAGTGAATGTGGAATATTGTTGAAGTTGCTGCCATTTCTGCTTTCATTGCTTCGCCTGGAATGTTGTCTGGCCCCGCTTCTTTTCCGTTCTTGATTTATCTGATGGCCACACTGATCTCTTTAGTTGTTGGTGGGTCGGTATTGATTGGGAGGTCCGTAGATGTTGCGTTAATGTTTGGTGCGTTCAGTATTGTTGGTCGATTCTTCAGTTTTTCAAAGTGCACAACTCCCCAGTTACACTGTTCTCCAATGCCTTCCTTGCTTTTTACTGGTTTTTCTAGTTCACGATAATTTCCAGCCATCCTCTTTGTTGTATCATACGATTGTCTTATGCTTCCTTCTCTTATAGCTTTTTCTTCCCTCATTACTAGATCTTCCTCATATTTGCGTTCCTATTCATGAATACTCCTCTTTACTTGCTTGTTTGCTTCTGTGTATTCAGCTTGTGCCTTGGATCTCTCTGATCTTGTACGGATGAAAGTGATTGCTGTCTCTTTGTTCTTCCTTTCGTGAATCTTACCCTGAGTATCCACAGAGATGCATTTCCCATGATGCTGCTCCGTCTGGCCCGGACCTCATGGCATGTAGGAATTATTGCTTCCTTGATCTCTTCAAAGTTCTTCCCAACGATAGTTTCCTGTTCATCGAGTTGCTGAGGGCTATTTTGAACTATCTGAGTCTGCCCGTATCCCGACGAAAGGTGGCATGAAACTTTCGTGATGCTTTTTAATCAGAACTTCTTGAGTTTCATTTTCATTTTGGCTACCATCAAGTGGTGGTTCGTAGCTATGTCAGCTCATTTCTCAGTTCTCACTTCCTTCATGATCCTTCTGAAAGTTTTATTGGTACAGATATAGTTAATCTGGTTCTGTGTAGTGTGGTCCGGTGAAATCTATATGGGTTTATGTATACGTTTGTGTGGGAATATTGTGCACTGTTCCTTTCTCCCAGTCCATGTCGTCCCATGATTTCTTCGTATCAAGGTACTGTCCATGCCAACCTGAGCATTTAGGTCTCCCATTAGAATGGTAAAGTCATTTGTTGGTCATTTCTCGAAAACTGACTGTATCCTCTCACATAATTATTCTTCATAACATTTATTTTCATCGCTAGTGGGTTCATAGCACGAAATGACATTTATCATAATTCGCTGTTGCTTTGATGAGCATGGGCCATGAGATTTCATCTTATCATGCTTTCTTTGCTTGTCTGAATAGCATCAGTGCAAGTCTTTGCGTATATAAGGCATTTTCTTCTCTATGGCCGGAGTATAACAGCAGATTTCCCGACGCTATTCTTTTTTGTCCAGCCTGCATCTAGTGTGTTTCACTGATTCTAATTACCACCAATACTGTATCTTTCCATTTCGGTAGTAACTTGGATGACTCTACCAGTTTCCCACTATGTGCAGACATTCTATATACCTATACTAATTTTTGTTTTGGTTTTCGGAAGGGGCATCGATCTCATGAATTCTGAAGAAATTCGGCTTTTTTCATGAGACGTCATAACCCTACTATAAACAAAGACCTTCCAACTCCGAAGGGTAGAGTTAAAATGGTTTGAAATATATTTTCTTGTTAGCGTTTTTTGGCAAGCTAGTTTTCTATGGGCTGGGGTCACCAACCCTCCTCCTTTATATGGTCTTCGGACTGGCAGTAGCCCCAGAAGGGCTACAGGCTCATTTATTTATTTGAAAAAGAAGAAATAAGCATAAATTAATGATGACTCGTATAAGTTATATACATTTGAAAATTGAGATTTATGATCAAATTCAAGTCTGTTTTATTTGCCTAATTTGAATCTTATGGTTTGTTACCACCTAACCATTACTTATTCACTCTGTTCATATGTAGAACTTATTATTCTGTGTTCTAGGCACCAACTTTCTCGACGAGCGATGTTTTGTGGTGTAGGAGTAGGTGGGAAGAAAGCTAGGGGCGGCCAAACCAAAACACGGCAGAAATCCATGAAATCATTGACAACTGCACTGAGCCTTGTTAGTAGATGTAGGCTACCTGGTTGGGGTCCGCAAGACGAAAGTCACCAATGGTTAGAGACCCAAAATCGTTTGCAATGGAGCAAGTGCGTCCACTATTTGTGTTCTCTCAAATTCTAACTTTCTGAATTCCTCATCATCTCCATATTTCTCCTTCTAAATTTATCTCACTAAATTATAGTTCTCGAGTAATATCTTCGAACCCTACTCTTCTCCATTACTGCTAATACCTCTACTATCGCTACCAGTATTTGATTTGAACTGACAGTTGCGTCTCTGTGTTAATGTGGTATGGCAACCTAAACTGATGTACATACGTACGAAGTTCTGCGTTGTATCTCTCTGTCTGTGTTCTAGCCAACTATGTATTATATTTTACGATGGCTGTTTATTATATGACAGTGAATTTTAAGGTTTATACCATATTTTTTTGATTGTTGCGACTTACTTAAACGAAGATTATTCTTACCTTTTACTCTGGAATGTGATTGAAACTTCATTTTATGTGAAAGACAATTAATTACTAGATACAATGTTTAACGCAACTGAAATCATTTGTAAGCTACTTGCATAAATTATATTATGTAAGTTAGCCAAACAAAAGATTTACTATTACATATGCAGTTTTGTATTACCATCTATAAATGTATTGTTGATTAATATGTGTAGAAATATATATATGCAGATTATACACACTTTTCTCACAAAAATTATTCAACAGGTTTCTAATGATGGTCTAACATTGATCGATTCATGATTTAAAAAAATAACTTAGCAGTCTCCACAACCTTATCATTCAATTTATCATGTGCTCACTAGTGACTAGCTCCGTAAAGAAGTTTCTCCAAGTTCTGGTGAGAAGTAGTGACCTGTGGAGTACAACCCTACTCAGGTGTAAAGCAGATCTCACCTAAGACACTGGATGAGGATGTCTAACTTCAAACAATACACGCTATCGCGCAACCTTATCCATTGTTTTCAGTGATCACTGCTTCACACCCCAGCAAGGTTGAACTCCACTCGTCACGCCTTCTCACTAGAACTCGGAGAATTTCATCACGAAGCCAGTCATTAGTGAGCACATTGTATGATTTTTCATTATATGCTAATGGAGATTATTGTTTATCATTGAGTTAATAAGGTTGCCCAAAACCTTAGATCAATCAGAGCTAGACATTAACACCGTTCGATGGCGGCCTAGTGGTCCAGATGTTAGGCGTTAACGTGCAAGACCAAAGGTTCTGGATGTTAATCCTGTTACTAGCGAGGGTCATGGACCCTCACTGCTGGTTAGTCCCATATCAGGACAAGATGGTCATCCAGTGCCTCCAGGTTTCCAATGACTGTCTAACATTGATCGTTTTGTGATCTCGTGATTCCAAACAGAGAAGTTTTAAAGTTACATGTAATACTACGGTGGTAAACAAAAGATTTAAGATATACTTTAATTTACTAAGTTGAGATATAAAGGGAGGGATAAAACAGTGTTGAAAATACTGTAGTGGTTCTCGTCCAACTAGAAGTTACCTTGTGTACTAGGTGAGCACGCAGAGTAGTTTGAGATTTAACAGGCTACAGTGCTACCGCTAGTGCTGCTATTACAGCTTCTGCCATTACTACTATAACTATGACTACTACTCCAAGATGATGCATATTTACATGAATGAAAAATTATTCTTACAGACTAAAGAATTTAAGATCATTCCACTAATTACTTACTCACGCTTGTCACTCCTTGGGAAACATAGGCCACCGACCAGTATTCTCCAACCCACTCTGTCCTGGGCTTTCCTTCCCAGTTCTGTCCAATTTCGTTCATTCTTCTCATATCTTTCTCTGTTTCTTGGCTTTCCTCTTTTCCTTTGACCTTCAGTGTTCCAATGAGGGCTTGTCTTGCAAAGCAGTTAGGTGCTTTCTGCAGTGTGTCCTATCCACTTCCACCGCTTCTTCCTCTCCCACAGTAGGTTGTTAGTGATGGTGTCTGGTCAACGGATCCTCAGTATTTTGCGTATACAACTGTTAATAAACACTTGTATCTTCTGGATGATGGCTTTCGTAGTTCTCCAAGTTCCCGCTCCGTACAGTAGAACTGTCTTGACATTTGTATTGAAAATCCTGATTTTGGTTTTGGTTGAGAGTTATTTGGAGTTCCAGATGTTGTTCAGTTGTAGAAATGCTGTCCTTGATTTCCCGATCCGCTCCTTTATATCTGCATCAGATTCACCTTGATTGTCAATGATGTTGCCCAGATATGTAAAGGTTTTAACGTCCTCTAAGGCATCGCAATTAAGAGATTGATTTTGTTGGCGCATGTAGTTCAGTAGTTATTCGTGAGAAAATAAGTATTAATATGATAAACAAGATTTATTTATCGAAAGAGGTACATGGAGCTGATTATACATTAACTTTAATAATTTCTGTTTAATACACAACAAAATAGCTGTGGTTAGAACACTTTTCAATTGATCAGAAGATAAAATTAACGAGGAATTAGTCATAATTGAACGTTATTTAGGTAGTAGTAATAATGGTCACCCTCCAAAATTCATAACCAAGAATGCGGTAAGCAAAGGAATCGGAGAATGCTATTCTATAGAGGAAGTCTGTCTTCCTGACGTTAAGAAAAATTGGTTTTAAATTAAAGGCTATAATGGAAAGGATTTATCCAGCCGTCAAACTGATTTCTCTGTATCACATGAATGGTTCATTTAGTTGGTCATGTATGGACAAATCCTTAACCCTATATTTTCTCCTACTGTATCTACCAGTTTACGTGTACATGCGAACACACATACATCATAAGAACAGAATGAATGTTTAGTGTTCGCATGTCGAAGCACATTCCACTAAAACGTCGACTAACAGAATGACATGTTTTCAGCAGTGTAATTGTGAACGCCATTTATATGACATTGATAATTAGATATTCCTTTAAGATAATTTTAGTAAATGGTGAATGTTAACTGTTCACTATGGTTTACTGAAACAATTGCTATAAAAAGATTTAAACTAAACCTCTGCATGCAAAATCAATTCAGCCAATAATATATATATATAGATATATATATACCAGTTCGGGGTTTGCACGTTTCAAGCTCAGATCATGGTACCTACACATCATAATAACAACTCGATCAATATATGATCAAACTTTTCTATCCAGTGATGAGTTATAATTCAGTTTCAGTGAATAATGAGGAGGTTAATTCTCAACACTTGATCTAGAATGATTTAAGAATAAATGGAATACGTTACCAGTGTATTTGAACGTTGTCGGGTGTAGGCAGTAACTATCGAAGACAAATGAGTGAGGTCACGCAAAATTGCTAGACCGACCAGAATTAGACATTAACACCGTTGTATGCCAACACAGAGGTTAGGCGTTCGCGTACAACACCTAGGGTCCTGGGTTCGAGCCCTGCGGCTAGCAGGAGTCGTGGATGAGTCCCACACCAGGATGAATCGGCTGAACTTTCAGTACTTCCAGGTTTCTAATCATGACCTAACAATGAATGATTGATGATTTCTATTGAGGATGTTAGATCCCCAGAATTCGCTTGTTAAATGCCTTATTTTCGAGTTCCCGTTTGCGAGCATGGGCTGATCATTTGACCTTGAGATTTCATTTCTCACCAGGAAAATCCATGGCTGTGATTGGCTGCTGTGTATTTTAGTGTGCTATTTTCGTAACTGTCCCAAGGACGTTTCTATGATGTATAAATAAACGAGAGTTGTATGGTTGATTGTATTGTGGTTTCTGGGTGTTTGTTTCTACGCTTATAAAGCCTTCTGTCTTCAGCTTGGTATTCAAGGTAGCCTATCTCGACGCTGTTAATTGTCTCGTTTGCGTTTATCGATCAAGGTGAACTCGTAAATAGCTTCAAGCGTACCTAGTGACGAATCCTACAATTTCAATTCCATAAGTCTAACTGAATATCAATAAATTTTGCGTTTTCTTTAGCGATTCATTTTAAGAGTTTAAATAATTCATACACATTTTATTTAATTTGATAACTATAATGATCAATTCTCAATTTTTTTTCTGTTTATTGCATTTTCAATAGATACTTCTTCTTGATCCTAATTTATAAAAAGAAAATAGTGAGCACTATAAATTTGAAAAATGCACACAATCTATAATAACAAAATTTTCCTAGTATATATAAATATATACATAATTGACATGATCAATTGTTAACCACATATCTATCATATCAGTTTCTCTCTTGTCAATTTATTGAATTTTGATTTATTCTGATGATTTTTCAACACAAAATTTGTTTAAATGATATTTTTGTCAATTTGTATACAAAAGAATTGATCAGATCACACGGGAAAACGCACACACACAGTCACCCTTTCATACTTCTTCTTGTTCGTTGTTAACATTGACACAATTACATACACAAGAGAAAGAGAGATTGATGCATTCTACATAAATAGTGAATTTTTTGAAAGTAGTCTATATATGATTAACTTGTCTGGTTTATTTTTTTTAATGATTTGATTTAGTGAATAATAATGAAAAAAATGTATATCAAACTAGTGTTGTTATTCTTGAATGAATTGTTTTACTACTAGTACTGTAGTGAACGAGAACACAGGTGGGGCAACCGAATTGTATTTAACGAAAATTACAGAGTTACTCAGTTAAATCGGAAAACCATATCGTAAATTGTTCATTTGCAAAAGATCAGTTCATCCTATCGAACTGCACTGTTCCTGTTGCCAAACATCAATCCATTGTCATTATTCATGCGTTTCATACAAATTCCATTGTTTTCTAACTCTTCCTTTCTCGATCTCTCCCCATCTTTCGCTGCCAGACATTACGTTGACACTCACGTCATATACTACTTATAAGTAGCTCACACCACACTACTACTACTGCTACTACTATTACTGTCACCATGTAAACTATTCACAACTACGTCATGTGATCTTTTAAGTTATGTGTTTTCAATGAGGATATGAATGAGTAGTATATTACTGGAAATCATTGTTAGACAACGAATAGAAATCCTGGAAGCACTGAAATGGGGGTCCCATCAGCAGTGCATATTCATGACTCCTGTCAGTCACAAGAATCAGTCATTGTTGTAACGCTTCCTTAGATAATTCCCGGCTAATTCCTATTGCTTAGTATACTCTGACCAAAATACACTGGACAGGTTCCAAAAACACTGTGGAACAGGAAAAGATTATATTCCAAATGTTAAGGTTAATGGAAATAAGAAGGCGAAAGCGAAATAGATACAACGTTAGTTTCTTTATAGTATTTACACGAGAAGCTTCTGGATAGTAATTCACGTGATCGACTGGATTAGATTTAGCCAATCAGAATGCAGCTAACAACATGAGAATTTTCTACCCTGCTCTCCAAGAATCGATCAGGCGCTGATTGGATAGGAAATTAGCCAATCAGCGGGCAGCAACGTAGTCATGCTTTAATTCCATCTATGTCCCACTAATAGTCATTGTTAGACAACTCGGGAGCACTGAAAGTTGGCCATGTGTGGGACCCATCAGAAGTGCGCACCCACGACTCCTACACCTAACAGGATTTGAATCCAGGAGCTTCGATCTTGTGCCTGAACGCATAACCTCTGGACCACTGAACCGGTATCTAACAGTGGTGATGTTTAACCCGGATCAATCTAGCGATGTTGCGCAACCTCATGCTTTCAATAATAAACAGTAATTTCCATAATTGGCTAATGAATAGCATATGTTTAAAACATCAGAATCATAGTAATTTTTTTATTAGTTATAACAAATTTAAACGAATTGAAAATTCTAATGTCAACGATTATTATTTTATTAAGACTAGAAAATTTAATATTTGATAAAAATGTCAAGAGACAAAAATCTTCTCAATTTAAAAAAAAATAGGAACAGTTTCATGCATTAAGCACAATAATATGAATATTTGCTCGGCATTATTGATGAATAATGCGGATTTGATAGAGATGTGGAGGCATGGATTGACAAGCCAAGGGCAGAATTTCTACGACAGCCATCGTCAAGAAGATACAATTGTTTATTCCCATATGTCTATTCAGAATACTTCGGATCGGTTGGCCAGATACTATCAAAAACAACCTACCGTGGGATAAAAAAACCAAATTCTTCCACCTGAGAAGGAAATCAGAAAGAAGCCGTGGATTTGGATAGGACACACATTGAGGAAAGCACACACCTACGTCTCAAGGCAAGCCCTCACTTGGAATGATCAAGGCGAAAGAAAGAGAAAACCAACAAACACATTACGCCCAGGAATATAGACAGGCATGAGAAGAATGAACACCATTTGGACAGACCTGGAAAATAATGTCCATGACCGAGTAGGGTAGAGAATGCTAGTCGGCTCCCTATGCTCCATTAGAAGTGACAGGTGAAACTAGATCAACAATATCAATTCATTTTATTTCTTAAACATTCTCATCATCTGATTACAATATATATGTAATATTTTTTCTTAAAAATCAAAATTATTGTAAAGTTTACATACTTATAACACTATAAAAATACATATTTATCATCCTATTGGAGTAATTATTTCTAATTGGAAGCATGTAAACAACTTTGTAAATTAATTATACATATATGTGTTTTTTATGATCAAAGATTCTCATTTATCAGAAATATATAGTGACCATGAGAGATCAAAAGGCGATTTAATAATGTTCGATTCATTGATCAATATAATGAAGTAATAACAAGTAAAAATAACATCACATCAATTGAGATCATTTTTTGATTGTATTGAGTATGTATAATTTACAAAGATTTCAATTTAGTTTGTTTTAGAAAAAAAACTGTTAAACGATATTGTAAACTAACTGATAAGAATGTTTAAAAGTAATAAAATGAATTTTTATGTTATTCTGTTGTTGGGAACGTTATATCCTCAGAACTAACTTGATAAATGTCTTGATTTTGGATTTTATTCATGGGCTGATTGGTTGACCTTGAAAATCATTGGTTGCTGTGTTATTTTGGTGACTCTCCCAAGGACGTTTCCATCATGTATATATGAGCGTGGTTTGTGTGCATGAGATCATTGTGCTCGCTGGGGGCTTATAGAATACACTTTGTACGGTATATCAAAACTTTTTCGTTAGTTCCTTTGGGTCAACGGATCAGAGTAGCCTACTCGGGCACTGGTTCATTGTCTCGTTCGCGTTTATCGACTAAGGTGAACGCGATAATAGTTTCAAACATATCAGCTAACGAGCATAATATCTACTTAGTTGTTTGTTTATGCTCTCTGTCTCTAGTCAACAACCCAAAAAGAACAAACAAATGTTCCCCAGTATTGCCTACTATCCATCACAATAAAAATTGATTTAATTCAGTTTTTAAGAACAAGAAAGCCAGAAATCTGTTTGTGTTTCGTCCTCTGAGTTGGATGTTGTTTTGGTTGTGAAGCTTTCATTGTTCTTCTGCTGAACAACATCATCAGCATCAAATTCAGATAAGAGTTCGTGATGATGATGTTGTTCAGCGGAAGAACAATGAAAGCTCCACAACCAAAACAACATCCAGCTTAGAGAACGAAACATCACCACAGTCATCCACCTGAGATACAAATTTTCTACACCATTTCATAGCCAGAAATCTTTATTTCAGCTAACATAAAGAAATACTATTTTACTTACTTGTAGACAGTGATAGCAATTATTTATTACAGAGTAAGAATGATATAGCTAGCCAATCAGATAATGAGATCTTCATAAAATATCCTGAAGGACGACTGAATATCATTGGTTAGGAAATGGATTTCGTTTTCTAAGTGAAAGAATATATAGATAGATAGATATGACTGGCTAGCCTAATAGATTTTTTCTTACTTCTTACTCTAGTCAGTTTAGCGGTTAGCACGAAACACATTCAACTCTTGGACATTGTACATTATAACAAAGAACACACCAGTTTTATTGGTTTTGTGTGTGGTACAATATGAGTGAGTATTGAAATGAAGAATATCACGTGAATAAATTATTCAACATTATGAGATAAGGCTTTAAAAATTGTGAAAATAAAAACTTTCATGGTTCACTAGTTAATGACCAAAACAGTTTGTAAATTAAGAGTAATCTTTATTTGAATATGCTAAAATACGTCACTTAGTTCCATTTTGATCTTGTTCTACGTATATGTCAATTTTGAAAAATGTGAAATTCGGAAAGAAGCTTTGTAGTTCTCCTCTGGATTTTAATATTGCCTTTAGGCTAGGGAGTTGCATTCATTCATTGTGTCCTCTCAAATTCTAACCTTCCGAATTCTTCATCATCTCTATGTTTCTCTTTCTAAAGTTATCTCACTGGATTTTACTTCTTGAAACATATCTTTGAAGCCTAATCTTCTCCATTACTGCTGATGCTTCTACTATCTCTACCACTATGGGATTTGGACTGACAGTTGCGTCTCTGTGCTGATGGGGTATGACAACTTGAACTGATGTACATACGTACGAAGTTCTACGTTGGGACTAGAGAGCGTTAACTCAGTTTGAGTAGTCTGCTTAATTAGTATGAGTAAAAAACAACATTTAAATATTTATTTTGATGACTAAATTCACGTTTATGTGAAGCGTTTCATGAATATCTACTGCATTACGACGAAAAACTCTAACTTTAAATCCTCAAGGCCAAAGGAGAAGAGTTAGTGTCATGGACATGTTACACTGAAAATTGAAGACAGATATGGAAAGAATGAATGGCAACTGGATAGAACTAGAAAGGAAGTTTTAGGTCAGAGTTCTTCGGAGAATGCTGGTCAGTGGCGTATGCTTTATTAGGAGTAACAAGCGTAACTAAGTTTCGACGATTAAAAACTAAAACATGTGGGGACTACTGATTAAAATCTGATAAATTGTTTGTTCTAGCAAGTTAGATAACCCACCAAAGAATTGAAAATTAAGGTTTTGTGTTGACTACATGTTGACTACATCCTTGAACTGTTTGGCAATAGTAAACAGGAAATAATTTTGTCGCAATCTAGTTTAAAAGCCATGACGTAATAAGCTTTCTAGGTGATCTTCAGACTAAAAACATCAGTTTACATGTTGGTGTG